GGAGTGGGTACAGACCATCACCGAAAAGTACCGCGGCAAGAGAATCATCGTCGCGCGAGACAAACTGGACACGATTCGCGGAGTTCGTCAGAAGATATTGTCTTACGAGCTCTTCCTCAACAAGTATCCCGAGTACAGAGATCAGGTTGTGCTCATCCAGATTGCCACGTCGTCTGCTGAGGACCCCGAACTCAGTGCCACTGTGGCCGACATTGTCACGCGTGTCAATTCCACTCACTCGACTCTGGCTCATCAGCCCCTCGTGTTCCTGAAGCAGGACATTGACTTCGCTCAGTACATGGCATTGCTCACGGTAGCGGAGTGTCTTATGATCACTAGTCTGCGCGAAGGCATGAACTTGACCAGCCATGAGTGGATCGTATGTCAGGATGGCAAGCTGTCGGAGAACAAGAATGGTCCGTTGATTCTGAGTGAGTTCACTGGCTCGGCCACCGTTTTCGGACACAACGCTATCTTGGTCAACCCATGGCACTACAGCAAATGTGCCGACGCCATCAAGCATGCTCTTGACATGTCTCCCGAAGAGCGCGAGAGGCGATGGAAGGCAATGTACGATGTTGTTATCGAACAGAACGCGGTGCGATGGTACGAGCAATACCTCAACGACCTGGAGCATGCATGGAAGGAACACAGGGTCCGTGACTCCACGGCGGTTCCCCGATTGTCGGTGTCCGCCACAAAATCGAAATATCAGAAGGCTAAGAGACGCCTTATCATTCTGGACTACGAAGGTACTCTGGCATCTTGGGGCTCGCCAACCGACATCATATTGACCACTCCGAAGAGGTCGATCGACGTTCTGAATGACCTTATCGAAGACAAGAAGAACATCGTTTATGTGATGAGCTCAAGAATGCCGGAGGAAATGGAAAGACTCTTCAGTCAAGTTAGCGGCCTTGGTTTGATCGCTGAGAATGGTGCCTTCGTGAGAGACCCTGGTACGGATGAGTGGCAGGAGCTCGTTGACACTGCCCATGTTGAGAAGTGGAAGAAAGGGGTGCGGAGCATTCTACAGTACTATGTGGAGAGAGTGGAAGGAAGTCGAATCGAAATGCGGCACGCCTCGATCATCTTCGATTACTCGGATGCAGAGGATACATCGGGAGCTTTTAAACAAGCCGGCGAGTGCGCCAATCACATCAACGATGCCTGTCGCGGCCAGAACGTAAACGCCATCCCTGTCGACGATGGCCTTTGCATCTCGGAAATCGATGTCAACAAGGGAGCAGCCGCTCAGTTGGTCGCCGAGAATTTGGAAAAGCAGGCGCAGGAAAACGGCGTCGAGTTTCCAGATTACCTCATGGTCATTGGAGATTCGAGGGAGGATGAATATGTCTTCAACTGGGCGCACAAGTTGGAGAAGGCAGGCAAGATCCGTGATGTCATCACCGTGACTTTGGGTGCCAGAAGCACCGAAGCATCGGCTACGTTGACCCAAGGTGTGACTGGTAAGTTACAAGCTCGTCTCGTGTAAGATCTGCAACTAACAACTCTAGGTGTTTTGTCAATTCTTGAGAAACTCGCACGAGGAACGTAGCACGATCCCCGCGAACGTCGTTCGGAGAGTTGGGCATGAAGCTGGTATCCATTACTGATGAAGCGGACGAGCTTCCAGGGACGGTTGATGAGTTGACGAAGGCATGCGTAGAGATCAATGCCACCACAGATACCCTGTATTAGACTGCACAAGCGATAGAGGTTCCCGCCATGGGCATCGATAGACTCGAAGCTATTTTGAAGCTGAGCACCTGCTGCTGCGAACGTTTCCAATCAAGACTTGGTTTGGAGTGCAAAAACCTTGCTCTATTTACTTTTACCGCCTGGACACCATCGATGTTGCTGCCTGGCTGAAGCTCCTAAAGACCGCTCTTCAGTCGCTCGCTAACGGTGAATATGTTGCCATGGTCGCTGTATCGGTCAGGGTCCGTACACACAATGGCTTCACAAGCCCACACTAGGAAGCGAAGAAGCGGGCGTCGCAGCCTCGCAGCCTCGCAGCCTCGCCAGCTTATGTAAAGTTCCTCGACTGCCAAGCAGACACGCAGGCTCGAGACTCTCTTCCGATGTTCTACCGTTCATCTCAAAATTTCTACATCTTTGAATTTCACAACCTTGAGCTGCCATCGTTCCTGCGTTTTGACGCCAGTTTGTGAAATAGCAGGGTACTTTCCATATCGAGACCTGCGAAATTCCAAAATGGGCGCACGAAAGAAAGAAGCAGCCCGCCGTGAGCGGCAGGGTGTTTCAACTGACGGCATGGCCAACGTAAAGGTCAAAGGCGAGAATTTCTATCGGTGCGCTTGACTTGGCTGATGCCGTGCAACCGGGTGGAAAGCTAACTCACCGGTATAGCAATGCCAAAAAGCTGAAGACTTTGAACATGCTCAAAGACGGCAAAGCGCAGCGAAATGCCGAAGGGAAAATCACAAAAGCCGCCTCTTACCAATCCCGCGAACTCCCCAAAGCACGAGTCGAGCCGAATCGGAAGTGGTTTGGCAATACGAGGGTTATATCACAAGACGCTCTGGACTCGTTTCGACAGGCTGTAGCCGAGAGAGCGGCAGATCCATATCAGGTCCTACTGAAGACCAATAAATTGCCAATGAGTTTGATTCGGGACGCGGAGCATACCAAGAACGGGATCAAGCAGCACCAGGCCAAAATAGCCGTCGAGTCTGCTCCCTTTGCCGACACTTTCGGCCCGAAGTCGCAGCGCAAGAGGGTGAAGTTGAGTGCCGCTTCAGTGGCCGACCTGGCGGGCGAGTCTGTCAAAATGCACGACGATTACCTTGAAAGACTGGAAGAGAACAAGCTCCTGAGCGGACAAACCGCCGAACAAATGCAAGGGCAGGAAGATGGTGAGCTCACCACGGCCCGCGAGCCGATCTTCTCAAAAGGCCAGAGCAAGCGCATCTGGAACGAGCTATACAAAGTCATTGACTCGTCCGACGTGATCATCCACGTTCTGGATGCAAGAGATCCCGAGGGCACGAGATGTCGAAGTGTCGAGAAGTACATCCGAGAAGAGGTGCCGCACAAGCACCTGGTGTTCGTGCTCAACAAGTGCGATCTGGTGCCGACAAGCATTGCGGTAAGTTTTGTCGTCTCTCTTTCCCTTCTTCTCTTTCTCCTTTTCGTTGTGTTCCGATGTTTGCCACGCCGACGTCTGCCCCTCCATCGCTAAGTCAAGGCCCCTTTCACGCACTCCCGTGCGTACCTTTCTCCGTGAAAGCAGCCTGTTACAGCTTTGGTACATCAAGCTGCGCTCGCCCTCTCCCTCGGGGGACGGTTCCCGACACTTGCATCCGTCTTGGAAGCATTCGTCAGAGAGTGCAACGCGTGTTTCGTTTGAGTTGAGGTCTGCTGTTTATCACCCATAGCATTTCTCTTAGTAATGTCTCATACACTTTTTCAGACCACCATAGACTGACTGTTAGCAACCAGGCCCAGTGGGTCCGGCTCCTTTCGAAGGAATATCCCACCCTAGCATTCCATGCTTCGATGACCAATTCATTCGGCAAAGGCTCGCTGATCACCTTGCTCCGCCAATTCTCGACGCTCCATGCTTCGAGGAAACAGATCTCCGTCGGGTTCATCGGGTACCCCAACACGGGAAAATCCAGCATCATCAACACCCTCCGCAAGAAGCGTGTCTGTACTGTGGCGCCTATTCCCGGCGAGACAAAAGTCTGGCAATACATCACGCTCATGAAGAGGATCTACCTAATCGATTGCCCGGGAGTGGTGCCGCCCAGCCAGGGCGACAGCGAACAAGATATCCTGCTCAGGGGCGTCGTGCGCGTGGAGAATGTAGAGCATCCGGCCCAATACGTCGAGGCCGTCTTGCGACGGACACAGACGAAGCACATCGAGCGGACGTACGAGCTCAAAGCCGCGGATTATAACGACGATGCGATGGAATTTCTCAGCATATTGGCCCGGAAGGGTGGCAGATTGCTGAAAGGCGGAGAACCAGACGTTGACGGGGTCGCAAAGATGGTACTGAACGACTTTCTCAGGGGCAAGATTCCGTGGTTCACACCACCGCCAAAGAGGGAGGGGGTCGAGGACGTGGATGCCGACGCGGCAACGCAGATTGTCGAAGGACGAGAAGGCCGCCTCGGCGAGATGCCTGGGAAGCGGAAGGCCGATGCTTTGGCAGCAACGGATATGGGTGCTGAGGCGGCATCGGCAGCAGCGGACCATGAAGAATCTATCTCTACTAGTGATCACGCAGAGGACGAAGGTGCCGACCAAGACGGAGAGGCTTCCGCTACCGATGACGACTTTGAAAAGTTTGACGACGAAGACGAAGAAGATGAACATGACGACGCGGACGATTGTGACAGCCAAGCCGATGGCCATTCCGATGGTGATGAGGGCGGGACTCAGCTGTGAGAACATATAGATACATAAGAGATGGCCAAAATGTGAATATGCTGGTCTCTAAAGTGTGCACAGCGGGAACATGTGCATGGCTTCACGTCGACTGACCCAATACTCGTGCTGTACTACTCGATACGGTCCGAAAATACCCTGAACACGAAAAAGGCATCATCTCAGTCCCTGCCAATAGAGGCCAGCCCTTCGTGTTAATCAAGTCCAGGGTAAGGAGCTGGGTAAGGAGCTGGGTAAGGAGCTGGATAAGGAGCTGGATATACGAGCTCTTTTGCATCTGTATGTTTCATTAGATATCATGTACAGCTAGTGCAGCTCGATGCGGCGTCCACGGCGCGCCTTACTGCCATGAGTCCTACAACTATATACAGTTCGAATCCTGTGCGCCATACATCCAGCACAACGCTTGTTGGTCACGAGTCCAATGCGGTTATATGTAGATTGGCCCCATTTTGCCTCCCGCTTGCAAAAACAAGGCATCGCAACTCAAACTTCCATGGAAGGGTCATCCAATCAGGGCAAGTCGACTAAATCATCAATCGTCAATCGTCAATCAATATCGTCACTCATCACACGTAGAATTATAAGTCGTCCGGTGATGGATCCTCAAATTCCCTTCCAGTGACGTTGTATTTCCCACGGCTCCAATCCCAAGGATCACCGCCAGGCACACAGAGGCCCAGCCTCCAGAAATAGTCCCTATGCGCGAAGAAAAGCTCCCAGAGCTTATATCGCCGGCCGAGTTCCCACATTTGTTGGATGCCCGCGTGGGCGCCCTGGTCGGTGTCGTCAGTGCCATTGGAGTCGAGGACATGGCTGGTGGCAGCACTAGGGGCGTCATTAATGCATGAGGGATCTTCGTCGCCCGCGCAATGCTTGACGTCTGCCCGCCCCGGTGGGAGAGAAGGTTTCGAGATGAAAATCTCGCCCGCGTGCATCCTGTAGCCCCATTCCTCGAGGGGCAACAGGGGCACTGGGTCGTCGACGTGCGTTACTCTCCTATACTTCAGTGTTTCCGGGTTTGTAGAGTCCAAGTTGAAGCGCTTGTCGATGAATCGATTGAGGGCTAGATTGCCTATGCGCGGTTCGCCGAAGGTGGTTACGTGGGGATCCCAGCCCCGAGCTTGCATTTCAAGTGACCTGTGAATTCGAGTCAGTTCATGTGCCCGGTGTGTGCAGATATCGCAGATATCGATGAGGGAGAAATCGGGGGAGGGGGAACGTGAACACAACACTCGCTCTTTCTTCTGCTAAGGGTGACTTACGCTAGGGCTGCCACGGCTCCGCCGAGCGAATGGCCTACCAAGACCAGTTTATAGCCAGGATTGTCTCGCAGTGCCTTTTCCACGTGCGGGACGACTATACAGCGTGTATTGCGCCAGGAGGTCATGAAACCGGAGTGGACTGTGCAGTTGGGACATTCGGGCGGCTCAAGTACGGTCCTCTTCTCCTTGTTCGGTTGTTGCTGGAGCAATTGCGGCAGTAGCGGTTCTTTGATATTCTGGTAGCCACCGCCCCCAGCCGGCTCGTCATCGGCCCCTGCAACACTCGTACAGACACTGTCGTTGTTACTATCGGCAGGGAAGGGCGCATATTCCGCCGGATTCGTGCTCAGATCGGCAATCGTATTGGCGATGGAATATGTCCCCCGGAATGCAACAATGACTCTCTTCTCAAATGGCGCATGGCTCAACGCAATGTACCCCGACGAATCCGACAGCAGTGGGCCCGTATTCCAGGCGGTGATGAGTTCGAAACCCTCAAAATCGCTACACCGGGACAGGCATTTGAAGGGTCTGCGAATGCCACTGGTGCCGACGCAGTAGGATATGTCGACGATGCGAGCGAGTTCTTCGAGGGATTCAAAGAGCGATTGCGAAATCTCGTTACCGTTGATGGTGGTTGGGAATTTCGCAGGGAGCGCAGCGGCGAGGGTTGTCCATAACCACAAGATTGACCAGATGGACTGCATCGGGGAGCGCCAGTATATGACTTTTAGATTCGCGTGGATGGCTGTCACATGGGATGAATACGCCGTACTCCTGGCAGAACCAAGGGATATACTCTGCACCGAAGAACGGGAGATGAACAGTCTTCGAGGATGCGCTACGAGGTACTGTAGGACTTGGGAAAATGGCGTCACATGATCTTGACGTCAGTAGCACTTCACGTGCACTGTCCTTGGCACTCTCCCGGGAGGCCGGCAACGGTGGCATATTTCACCGGCTTGGCATTGGCGGCAAGGCTCTTCAGCCTCGACATCGATTGCATTGTGATTTGAGTAGTGATTGCCTGATCTTTGCTGCATTTCGATCTAACATATAGGACTATTACAATCTCCAATCTTCCACCAGCTTAGTTGAAGAACCCGATCGAAGTGCGCATCTCAACGGACGGTCATACTCCTTCCCGTCTCCCGTATGCTGACGTCGAAAGCACCAGCCATGGCATCCCAACTTCTGCCACTAGGTATATTCCGCTTTCAACACGAAGCATTCCTAGAGAAGCCGCACCCGTCGCTAACCATATTTCCGCAGAACTGATCGACAAATGTGTCGGCTCAAGGATATGGATCATCATGAAGGGTGATAAAGGTACGGCTTCCGCGAGTTGCTCGCGGTGGAATTAATTGTGTCGCTTCGACCCTTCCCGTGGATCTATTCGTCTCTGGCATCGTCCTGACTGGTTCCTGCTGCATATCTTCCCGTACCCAGTGGTTGACCCTTGCTTACTTGAGGATGTGCAGAGTTCGCTGGCACATTAATTGGCTTTGATGACTACGTCAGTATGTTAGCCCCTTATGTCGTCTCCTCCTTCACATGCCTGAACATTCGAAAACGAGCTGTTCCGTCTCGGCCTCGTCCATGTGATGAGTGCGACTAGAATGCTAACGTCAATGTCTCTCTCTGGATAGACATGGTCCTCGAAGATGTGATTGAGTTGTAAGTCTGTGCTCTGGCTTCACTCCCGCGCACGCCTATTGTTGATGCGTCGTGAGACTAACTCGAGGTAGTGACTATACTGGAGCGCAAACAAGACTGCCCAAGATTCTATTGAACGGGAACAATATCTGCATGGTAGGTCGACCCTTCCATCGCTCCCTGGCAAAGCTGCTTTACGTGTGCCGAATGTCCCATTGGCCGGTGGCTTCATCACCCGAACCGCGACGTACATTGAGCAGTCCAGCTAACACTACATGCGACCAGCTAATACCTGGAGGAGAGGGACCTGCTCCTGTAGCGTCGTGACAGAACGCAGGACGACGAGGACCGGTGACATCTCGCGTTTTGGCCTGCGAGGAAGAGAGCTTGGCATTGAAGCTGGCTGGAGGCATGACAGTCTCCCCGTCCACAAAAAGATTAGACATGTTCAGCATGTACTGTATCATGGCTGGACCCCAGACCCTGAGTCATCCACACGAGTAATCAGGGCAAGGTGCCTGGTTACGACTTGTACTTTACAGCGGACTTCTGCAACACTCTGACTGCCTCCCGCTGTACCCCTCTTACTATGTCTCGAGCAGACATTACTTCCTTCACCAGCCCAATTCCGGTCCCGGCGTAGGTACACATCCTGCCCTCTGGTCCCCAAGCCGAATCTCCCAATTTCATGGCTTCTTTGTACAAGGCGATATTCTCCTCTTCACCCATCCCATGCACCGCATCCAGAAAGGTCCTGTTCACCACCCCTCTGCCCACATACGTCTGTGGCCAGTCGTTGATTCCTCTAACTTTATCGTAAATCGTACTCGCAACGGTACTGACACCTCCATCGGTTACCCTGAGCACTTCGTCCTGATACCCTTTCGCGATTTCCGCTTCATCGCTTGCAAGAAGTCTCGTCCCCAAACAAATTGCATCCGCCCCCAGGGTCAGCGCAGCAGCAGCGCCTCTGCCATCAATAATGCCACCAGCTGCTACAATTGGGATACCCTCAATTCCTTCCCCCTCGAAAGCGTCCCGCACTTCCGGCAAAAGCGTCATCAGACTCGCCCTCTCACGCAAACCATGGCCACCCGAGTCGCCCCCCTGGACAACTAGCACGTCTGGTTTCGTGGTCTTGGCAACCTCCACGGCCTCCGCCACGGTACCGACCTGTACCCAGATTTTCGTCATGTTGTTGCTCATCTGGCGGATCGCTTTAGCCCAGTCGAGCAGGTCAGACAGATGGAGCGGCGCGAAGAACCATACTGCTGCGACGGGATGCTTTCGCAGTGCTTCGAGCGCCAGGTCGAGGGAGGCGCCCCAGCTTAGGAAGCCGACGCCAATGGGCAGCTGGCCGTCATGAAGGGGTGTATGAGTTGATTTCGCGTACTCAGCCGCTTCAGCGAGATTGTCTGACAGCTGCGAGAGGTCGAAGCCGCCGGCAAGAAAGCCTATACCGCCTGCAGAAGAGACGGATATCGCAAGGCGACCGAGTGCGATTTTCAGCATCGGCGCAGAGACCACGACGGGGACATTTGGCGTGGTCCAGGGATAGGCGTCCTGGAAAGAAGACATCACGGCGCGACGGGAAAAGTAGAAAGCCTTTTGTGACAAGTCCGCGATGGATCAAGGCTTCAGCGTGCCAGCAGGACGAGTATCTACACTTTCTGGACCTTAGATATTGGAGAATCGCACTCGGCGTGAGAGGGAGCGCAACGCATTTACAAAGAGACCTCCCAAGGCGAGCTCCAGGCGGAAGCTAGCGCCTGTTAGACATGGATCTTGCCTGGCTGCCTGCGAATGGGGCATTCTCCAGGCCCGAGGGCGCGTAGACGGAACCGCTTTACTGGCTTTGCGATACGAGTGCGTGGTGGGCATCGTAGGGGGGTTGGAATAATGCCTCAGCCGATCTACGTGTTTGGTGTCGTCCCTGCATATTTCCGCGGCGTATCTGTTCGTCTGGGTTCGACCGCGCGTGGGGTAATTACAAGTAGTTGTAAGGTGGGCGAGCGGTAATTAGCCCAGAGGGAAGTGATCAAGCGAGACTCGCTTGTTGTTGGCCGAAGCTGAACTTGGCAAATTTCTCTTGTTTGTCCGCTCTGTTCATTCATTCATTCGAATCTTTTTGGATCAACACGCCTTTTCGGGAGTGAAGCCACGGCGTCGTTACTGCCTTCCATCTTGCCTGAGCTCCGATTCATCATCTGGTCGTCGTCTTCTGGTGTTCTTCTGCGAACTTACCATTGCCTCGTGTCGCCCATACTCTTGCTTTGGGACGAATCTGAACCACCTGCCACCTTGCTTCTTCCGCAAACTTCATTTACTCGACATCTCCTTTGCATTTTGGTTATTTTTTTCCGCACAGCTTTGGCAAGATGTCCAATGCTCCAGACCGGTATGTAGGGCTTTTGGTTACTTGTTATTACTGTATTCAAACGACTGGCGGCAAGAAGAAGCAAGAGGGCATTGGGTTCAAGGAAGAATGAGTCCTCTAGGGGAGACACGCCTGGTAGCGGTCGAACCACCTGCGAAAGCGCTCACGGTCCCGAATCCGGCTGGAAAGACACAACGGTTCACCTTCACCTGCGGATGACGTTCTGGCTGCCATGAAGCATCGTCTAGACAACTGCCTGCATCAAAGGACCAAAGCCTTGGCATTGTCTTCACAGGACTACAAATTCCACCTGCGCCTTCACTTCGGTCCGCCGACCTATCTTGATCGACCCTCCAGCTGCCATACCCAGCGCTGTACACCATCCTTGTGACAAAAATTGTCATTCATCATGTCGGAGACTCCAGCGCGCCAGGTCATGGGTCTGGAAGAGACGACCGACCACGGACAATCACCCTCACCTCACAAGGTTGCTTTCAATCTTCCGGGGCGACGAATCTCGCCTGTTGAACTTGTCCAAGCCGAACAACAATTCTGGTCCGAGCAGCCGAAGAACAAACTGGCTGCAAGTGACAATTCCGGGGCCGACGCCAACGGCGCAAATCTACCAACTGCGTAAGTCGCACTCTCCATGGCCTGCGCCATTTCTGGAATCTGGGCTCTAGATTATCTCTGGGGCCAGACCTGGATCTGGGACTGCATCTGTCCGCCAATGGAGCCTTCAACCCAATTTAACACTTGCCAGCAATGAGGATACCAGCAGCAAGCTCGCCGCAAAGGACATCGTGGATATCGAGAACACTGGCACTGCGGATCCTGGGCCACCTCCATCACCACCTCGCGCTTCTCCTCTCGACCGCGGCCGTGGTGGTCTTCCTGCCGATGGTAAAGCCTGGAGAAACTTCCCTGCCAATCAGAAAGGCGTCCGACTCCACTGTTGGGCAAATGGAATTGACCATGCTGCGATCAACATACTTGACAGGTGCGCCATTACATGAGGAGGATTAGAAAGATATTCTGCACAAGCAGCTGCTAGCTACTTCGCTTTTCTTGCGTTCAGTCTTGCGGTACGGGTGACAATGGTTGACCTCGATTGTGTAGTACCGAATCTTTCCTCCTTGCAGATGGCGAGAAGAAGATCGAAGAGAAGATCGATACTCGTGAGTGGCTTGAATCGGCCCCCGTCTACAGCATACTGAATGTTCTTTCCAAGGTACTCCCAACACCACAATCTTCACATTCAACAAGGAGGACCACACCCTGGCCAACCTGCTCCGTGACAAACTCCTGAAGAACAGCCACGTCACCTTTGCAGCCTATCGCGTAGGTCATGTGACCATCTGAGTTCTTGTTCCACATCTGACAGATCGACTAGATCCCTCACCCCCTCTTTGCGAACTTCGAGCTCCGAGTCCAGACCGATGGCGAGATCACTCCGAAGGAAGCCGTGCTCGCCAGCTCCCGTGACTTGGTTCAAGACCTAAACAACCTCAAGACCAACTTCACTCGCGAATATGAGTTGAGGAAAATGGTTGGGGGTGCACAGAATGGACAGTGAATGCCTGCACCTGAACAGAGGCATGGCTCAACACGATATGATCCGCAGATTCCGATAGCGAACTGATGATACCCTGTACTCTTAGTGGGCGGCTGGAATGCTGGACTGAGGAGTTCTTCAGGGTGATATGACATGGTACTGCTTTAAGGGTGGGAAAGGTCTGCAGTCTGCACGCATGGATAGAAGCATAGGAAACAGTCACGGCATTGCATGAACCGGAACACAGCATTCAAGTCGCTGAAGCCGAACGAAAGTGCTTGGATGCATTCATGCATACATGCGATACTTGAGCCAAAGGCCAGTCTGATCCGGAGCTCCGGCAGCCTTCAACATGTCCAATGTGGTCCGTTCCAACCCACAGCCGGTCTGCACCACGCCGCCTCAAATCTGGCGCAATTATGGAATCGTCGAGTTGCAGGTGCCTGGATGCTGGCTTCTACCCGTCCGTATTCGGGCTCCGCAACTGCGAGGCACAAGTTTACGCGCTCACTATCAGCATCGCGCCTCCCTGACTGAATATGGACTGTGTACACGCTATAAGAGACGGGTGCACTCCTATAGCGATAATCACGATGACGAGTCCTGTCCGCTACATAGGATACGGGACCGCGACGAACAACTGAACCGTCGCGGTCGCCGAAACGGTAAACCGATCGCCGTCGTAGCAGCACTGCATCAGACTTGATCAGTAGGGCTGTTAGCACGGACATCGGAAGCACCACTCGAGCACTTGCCACAAAAGGAATGAAAGGCCGCTCAGGGTGACGAGACGTGAAGTCCAGCTGGAGAGAACGATCTGCAGCCGAAGCGCATCCGGTTCCTGGGCTTCGGATCAGGCATGCTTTCGGATGGGTGACGACATGTGCCTGCCACAAGGGTCAATGCATTCGGCGTCTTGAGTTGATCCAGATCGATCGAGCGACGCCCGAGTCTGTATCGTCTGAAACTGATCCTCTCCATGGATGAACCCTTCGAGGTGGCTACTATGATGACACTTGACATACTGCACCCGTCCAGCGACAAGTTTAACAAAGAGCAAGAGTGTAACTTGCCATCACAGTAGAAGAAGATCCAATGAGCAAGCTGGCTCCCAGCACGAATACGAGACCTGCTCATATTGGAGCATTCTAAGTAGGTCCTGCGTGTTCAGCCCAAGGAAGTTCAAGACATGCACTTGATGCTCCAGCTAGACTTTGATTGAAGGGCGACATCGAACGGGATCAATCACGCCTGCGCAATCCGGGTGTAATGGGCAAGCCGCGCTGGTGACTCGTCACTGCGCACCGACTGGTTTCGATGCCAGTTGTGGACGCCGAATTGTGGTTGTCAGCGTTCGACATTGCTTGCGCTCCCGACACGTCACGTGGATTTCGGCGTCATGCTATGCAGGCGCTCCGCCGTAGCACAGCCACGTCGCCGTAGCAGCTGAACTCGTCATGGCGTTGACTGATACGAGTCGCTGAAACTGAGCATCGTCTCACTCAGTTCCTCTTCGATTTCCATCTTTTCCGCGTTGTTCATCTGTTTTTCTGCTTTCTACGTGTGTTGCAAGCATGTATTCGTCTTCCAACTCCTTCCTGGGCGGCGCCAACAGTGCCCGCCCTGGTCCTACCCCTGGAGGCTTCGGGCAGCAGCAGTCATTCGGCTCATTTAATCAAGCACCTCAGCAGCAAGCTCCCTTTGCTCCGCAGCCGACCGGATTCCCCGGTCAGTTGCAGGCTCAGCAGACTGGCTTCCCTCCATTTCAGCAGCAGTCGAGTTTCCAGGCTCCGGCGCAACAGCCTCAGTTTACGGGTTATCCTCCTCAGAATCAAGTCCAGCAGGCTCCGTTTCAGCAGGCACCACCATTCCAGCAACAACAGCAGCCTTCCTTTCAAACTGGGCCGCCTCCGCCTCCGCCTCCGCCTGCACCTCAACCGCAACAGCCCAGCGCTGCCCCTCTGCGTCCGCAGCAGACTTCCTCCCAGATCGCGGCGTCCTTCACCCAAGGCTCGTCAAGTGCACCTCCGCCAAGGAGGGGAAGAGCTCAGAGCAAGAGCGCAAGCAAGATCCCAAACATCAGGTTGTCCTTTATTACTGCCACGGACCAGGCCAAGTTTGAGCAATTGTTCAAGTCGGCGGTGGGAGAGGGGCAAGCACTGAGTGGAGATAAGGCCCGAGATCTGCTTCTGAGGTCGAAGTTGCCAGGCAGCGCTTTATCGCAGATATGGATTCTCTCAGACACTACAAAGTCCGGCCAGCTCCTGTTCCCCGAGTTTGCTTTGGCCATGTATCTGTGCAATTTGAAGCTGACTGGGAAAGACTTGCCACCGGTGCTGCCCGAGAAGATCAAGAACGAGGTGTCAAGTATGGTCGACATCATTTCATTCAGTGTTATCGAGGACAAGCCTCTTCCGACGCCGCGAACCAACGTACCAGACTTTGATGCTCCTCTGAGGCAGAATGCGATGTCTCCACCCGCTCCGCAACAACCTACGCCCCAGCAACCCAACAATCAGCAGCTCCTGACACAACTTACATCCCAGCCGACCGGCTTCTATAACCAAATGCCAGGCCTTCAGTCGCAGCCCACGGGGTTTCCTGGACAACCACAAGGATTGCAGGCCCAGGCGACTGGGTTTCCCGGTACCGCTCAGCCGGCGGGTTTTGGTGGTGCGCGCCCGTCTCTACCTCTCATGCCAAGTGGTGGCTTTGGTGCAAATGTGTCGCCCCAACAAACTGGTTTCATACAAGCTCAGCCAACAGGAATGCCCGGCCAATGGGGGTTCGTCAATGCACCAGCTGGTGGCTTGCCGAACATCGAAGCTCTTCAACAGCGTCTGATGCCTCAAACTGGCCGTGAAGCAGGGGGCTGGACTACGCAAGGTCTTACGAGCAATGCAAAGATTCCTTGGGCCGTGACCAAGGATGAGAAGCGGATCTATGACCAGCTTTTCCGTGCTTGGGACGGCTTGGGCCGAGGCTACATCTCCGGCGACACTGCGATTGAGATAATGGGCCAGAGCGGTCTTGAAAGATCGGATCTAGAATCAATCTGGACGCTTTCTGACCCCAATAACAAAGGTCGGTTGAACATGGATGAGTTTGCGGTAGCTATGCATCTTATCTACCGGAAATTGAACGGGTACGCTATTCCCGCTCGACTTCCTCCCGAACTGATCCCCCCGTCGACAAAGAACTTCAACAGCTCTATTGATACTGTGAAGTCGCTGCTCTCTCAGGACGCCGAGGCTCGGAAGACCTCGGGCGCATTTTTGCAGCCGCAAAAGACGGGCGTTAGCTATCTGAAGGATCACTCGTTCCGTTCTGGTTCAGCTTCTCCTAGTTTTGGCCGCAAAGATGCAACAATCTTCCGCAACAACGACGACGCTGTTGGCTACCGCTCCAGCGCGAGACGTCGTCTTGGCGATGGAGGTAGTCGAACTTCGTCTCCTGCACCGTCATCCGACGTCGGCGATTCAGCCTACGACGACCTGACCCCTGATCAGATCAGGAAGAAGATCCGTGAAAAGAAGATAATGCTTGACGCCACTGATTTTCAAGACGAGAGACAAACGGACGATGATGATGTCCTGGACCGTCGGGATAGAAGGGAGGCTGAAGAACTCTTCAGACAGATCCGCCGTGTTCAAGATGACTGTGACACACATCCCAATTCCGGGTTCGCTGGTGGGGACACGGGTGCCGAGCGGAGAGCAATGAGAAGAGAGCTACAGCGATACCAGGATCGGCTACCCCAACTCGCATCCGATGTTCGGAAGGTCGAAAAGAGCATTGCCGAAGCCAAGCTGCAGCTTTTCCGTCTAAAGGACGCCAAAGCTCACCCAAATAGCGCCTCCAATATTGTGGGAACCGGTCCTGGAGGCAGTGTCACCGAGGCAGATCGGATCAAGGCGCGAGCGCGCGCTAGGATGCAAGCGCGAGCCGCCGAATTAGCCGGTCGTCCCGCCCCTGCGGCGGACGACGAAAGTGGTGCTCAGAGACGGTTGGAACAAGAAAGCTCCAGCATCAAGTCCGAACAGGAGCGGCACGAAGCAATGACCCGGGATGTCGAAGAGAGCGTCAAGGATTTCGTGACAACTCTAGAGGATGGTCTACGTGACTCAGGCGAAAACGCGACTCAAGAGCATGAACGTAGGAGATGGGAAGAAGCATTGGGAGTCGAGGACGAAATCAAAGAACTCATCTATGATCTGCAGCGCAGTAGTAGGACCGCCAAGATCCGGAAAGAAGAGTAAGCATCGACCTCATTTTCAATGACTGTTTACTAACATAGGCAGGCAATCTCGCCAAGCTCCTGCTAGGAGAAGTTCGCGCGACTACAACCGTGAGGACACAAAGCCCACGAATGGCGATTCACCTTTGCGATCAGCGCCACATTCTTCACCCCCAGCCTCGTCCGTGGGCCAGTCGCAGCAAGATCGTGTCGCTTCTGCCAAAGAAAAGGCCCTCAAACGTATCCAGGAAAGAATGGCAGCCGCCGGTCTCAAGCCCGCTGGGGAAGCTGGCGAGACAGCGGCGCAGCGACAGGAACGTGAAAGGCGGGAGAGAGAGGAGCGCGTGCGGAGAGCCGAAGCTGAAGATGCAAAACGCGAACAGGAGCGACAACAGAGACTTGCCAATGAGGGCGTCATACCTCCCAGCCCCAAAAACGAGAAAAAGCCACCTCCGCCAGCACCTCGAAAGCAGCGACAGGACAGCACGGATTTCTCAGCCAAGCGAGCAGCTGAGGCTGCTGCTCGTGCAAAGGAGGAAGAAGCGGCAGCCCGCGCCAAGGGTGAGGAAGAAGCGGCTGGACGTGCGAAGGCCGAAGAAGAGGCGGCCGCGCAGATCAGAGCCGAGCAAGCAGCAGAGAAACGTGAACGAGAGCGGCTGGAGTAAGTTTGACATCATTACGAACCCGACATCAACTGACACTATCTTAGGGCCGCGGCCAAGGCTCAAGAAAATGACCTCGAGAAAGAGCGTGAGGCTGCTCAAGCTCGGTTGCGAGCGCTTGAGGAGCAAGTCAAGGCCGGTAAGATCAAGAAGCAGGAAGAAAAGGCTCGCAAAAAGGCTGCGGAGAAAGAGGCAAAGGAGAAGGAGGCCAAGCTTGCAGCACAGCGAGCTGAGCTGGAAGCAGCCCGTGAGCGAGAGCGACAACTTCAGCTCCAGCTCGAACAAATTGAGAATGATTCATCGTCGGACGAGGACGAGGGCCCGCAGCAGATCACGCCGCAAGAGAGTACGCCCGCCACAAGCCAGGTGCTGACAGGCTCAGTTGCCTCACCCCCTCTCAGCCACGCTGCCCCAGAACGGTCGGCGAGCAGTGGCTATGAACCCACCCCTGTCTCCAGTCCACCTGCTGCTCAAGAATCGAGAAACCCGTACTTCCGCAAGCTTTCGCAAAGCAAACCCGCAGAAAATGGGCAGCCAGTGTTCTCACCTCCTCCAGTTCCACAAGCTCAAACATTTGCACCACCGCCAGCACCACCAACTGCGCCTGCGCCACCAGCTGAAAGTCTCGCATCCACCAATCCCTTCCACCGTATCGCTCAACAAGAGACCGCGAAGCCATTGACGCCGAGCTTTACTGGAGCTCAGTCGCGACGCCGTCCTGAGGAGGACGAATGGTCGGCGGCGGGATCTGACAAGGAGGAAGAAAGTGACGACGACGAAGATCGCCCAGGGGGCGGATCTGCGAAGCATTTGGCTTCTATCCTGTTTGGCACCATGGCACCGCCAAGGCCACTATCAGCAATGGACAGTAAGCCTCAGACGCCTGTTCAAGAGCCACCGCCAGTCCCTGGTGCTTTTGAGCCATCTTCAGCTCCGCCGCCTCCACCAATGCCTGGCAGTGGTGCCCCTACCGCACCTCCTCCTCCACCACCACCACCATTCCCTACCTCTGATGCTCCTGGAGGTCCACCGCCTCCACCACCAATGCCTGCGCCAGCTCGTGCAGGGACTGCTGATATTGGTGCATTGCTGGGTGAAATTCAGTTGGGCAAGGGCTTGCGCAAGACCGAAACGAAAGATCGTAGTTCCAGTGCGGTTGCTGGGAGGGTTTTGGACTAGCTAGATATCAGCTCAAAGAGCCGTAGTGGTCAAAGATTATGAGAGGGGGAGAGGCTGAAGCTGCAGCGACTCCAGATATTATAAGGTGAATATAATCGAATGACTTTGTGAAGGTGTTTGCAGGCCTCAACGAGTTGCTCGTTGAAGCGAGCTGCCCACGTGACATCGGGGAAGTGTTCGCGCTAGCCATTTCAGGACACTGTCAACATGTCAACAAGCCGAGACCCGAAAGACTGGCCACTCCGACCCAAGCTTGAAGTTAAGCTATAGATCTGTGAAGCTGCAGCGTCGCCTAATAACCAAATGTTCTAGCTGGTTGGAGGCGACTTGGGCCCGACGAGGTGAAATCAACCGACGGCGGTGAAGGGCAACACCCAACACCTGACACCTGACAGCACAGCAGACGACTACCTGGGACGACAAAGGCAAGATGCCTCGTGTTACTAGAGAGTCGAGCGTCCGTCCCAGCCGGCAAGCAGTTGTTATGAATATGGCACGAGAGAAGGGCAAGCTATCACCTGTAAAGTAAGACCTTAGCCCAAGACACCCGAGTCGCATAAAGACGCATACGCGCTCAACGCAGCCTCGATCCCAAATCTAAGCTAACATTTTCCTCAGGATTCCACTTAACGATGATAAAGGCGAAAAAGTCGCGCGTCTGCATTCCCGGCAGGCCCTCCAAGAAATCCACATGAACGAAATCCGCGCAGCAGCAAGTCCAGTACGCAAGCTCAACCAAAGACGAAGAGAATCGAATTACAGCAATATGTCAGACTCACCGCGCACGCCGAGGACGCAAGATGCAGCGACAATAGCGCAGGCACGGAAAAGAGCTGGGCAACAGAGGCAGAGCAATGGTGGTAGCATGCGGACGTCTCTTGGCCATGGCGATAACGGCGTCACGCCCATGAAACGCGTTCCCATCCTTGCCAACTTCGAGGAGTGGATGAAAATGGCCACCGACAACAAGATCAATGCAGCGAACAGCTGGAATTTTGCCCTGATAGATTACTTCCACGACCTGAGCCTACTGAAGGAAGGTGATGGTGTCAACTTCCAGAAAGCGAGCTGCACGCTGGACGGATGTGTCAAGATCTACACCTCTAGGGTGGATAGTGTGGCAACCGAGACGGGACGTCTGTTGAGCGGCCTCGCGGATGGTGGCGCCGAGGGGAAGAAGAATCGGAAAGGAGAGAATGCTGACGGCGAGGAAGAGGATGAAGACGGCGAGGATGGAGAAGATGGAGAAGATGGCGAGGGCAGGAAAAAGGCCAAGAGGAAACCAGCACGCAGTCACGAAGCTACTCTCGCACCTAGCTTTGCTTCGTTCCAGGGCAAGAAGCTCGAATTGGAGTTTGCTGTTGATCCGCTATTCAAGAAAGCGAGCGCCGACTTTGATGAGGGAGGAGCCAAGGGCCTGCTGCTGAATCATTTGTCGATCGACTCGGACGGAAGAATTGTCTTTGACAGCAGTGACGATGCTGGTGATGCTGCGTTGAGTGGGGAGAAGAACAACCAGCATGAGCAGACGCTCGACAGCGAAGCAGCAGAATCCCAGCAGAATGAGCCAAGTGCACCGATCGAAGAAGAACAAGATGCCAGCGGCGACCATGACGACGAAATCGACCTCCCCTCCCTCGCCGCCAAGTTCTTCCCTGACTTGTCCCTGCTCGACTCTCAAGATATCTGTCCCTCGATGAAGACTTTCACCCTGGGCGACCCTTCCGGCTCTCTGGACATCCCCTTTCTCAAAGCTCCGGACGACTGGAAAGAAAAGAAAGGCCTACAAACTCCAGCCCCCGGTCCCAGTCTCCCGCTGGATCTGGCAGACCAAACAGGTATTTTCCTAGATGGAAGTAATGCCATGGGGTTCGATGATGATGACGATGACGGGGGACTACTCGGTGGTTTCGACGTCGCAGACAATGTCGGCTTTGGCGAAGGCGGTGAAGCGTGGGCTAAGGAAGCCGCAGTGGACGCTCAGGCCCGTATCGTCCGTGCCGAAGACGTGGACGACAATTTGCTCGAAACTGGTGCTCAGGACTATGCGGTGTCCCTGCAGCACAAGTACCAAGAAGACGCGGAGCATGAATCCATCATGGCCTATTTTGACAAGGCCTTCAACTCTCGTGCGAAAGGCAAGACTGCATTCTTGACTCTCGAGAACTGGCGGATGCAGAAGATCCAGAAAGCACAACAAGCTGAGGCGACCGGCACCAACTCTGCACCAACGAGACAGCGCAAAGAGAAAGAACCTTTTGAGATTGACTTCCTTGGACCCATGTCGGAAAGTTTGCAAGAATTACTGCAGCAGCCGCCTGTATTGAACTCACAGATTTCCCTGCCGAAAGCACAGTGGCGCACGAAAGGACATAATCTGCTCGACAAGGATGACGAACTTGTCGATCCGCGGAAACTTATGCGGTTGTGGACGAAGCCGAAGTGTCGGGTCGGACGGATCCGGCGGAAAGAAGGAGGTGTTTCCATGGGGATCATCGATGAAGGGTTCGGCGCAAGGCATCGTCTCGGTACTACAATCGCCGGCGATCATGAAGTCGATGACAATGAGGGAAGAAAGGGTGATTACGATGCGAATTTCTTCGCGGACGATGATCAGCTTGTGCCATTTGATGGGCCCCTACCAATTGATGATGATGATGATGACGATGATATCGGAGGAGCGGACGACGGGCAGGCATTTATGGATGCGAGGGAGATGCTCTCCCCTCAACCGGAATCTCAACAACAGCCGAACATCTTCGACGCGCTTAATGGACAAGACGAACAAACGCTATCACAACAACCTGACTCTCAAGCCCCGAACAGCCAGCCCGATCTCCTTCCCGGGTCTTTTGGCAGCCAACTCGTCACGCAAGCGGGCAAGAGACTTCGGCCCGAATACGTCAACTACGCGAGGACGGCAAAGAAGGTCGATGTACGGCGGCTGAAGGAGAATATGTGGAAGGGCATGGAGACGAAACTGATCCGCGTTCTTGACCGACCGCCTCCGACGATACCGAACGAGCCAGAGGTGAACGACAAGAGGAATGGTGATGGTGATAGTGATGTGGATATGATGGACGTCGACGACCCTCCCAGTGATCAACCTCAATCTGCCGCCAACGAACCACCTGAACCCATCTCTGACCAGCAAGAGGATCAGACTCTCAACTTCACCGAGCTCATCCAGGACCTCCGTTCCGTGTATCCCGACCAGCAGATGAAGGACATCAGCACGTCGTACTGTTTCATCTGTCTGCTCCACTTGGCGAATGAGAAGGGACTCGTGCTCGAAGGTGAACGAGAAGGGGACCGCGCAATGCAAGAAATCACCGTCAGGCGAGATCCCACCGTGGGAGATGGTTACGAAGGGGAGTAGAACTAGTCGAGACTAGTGGACCAGACCACCCACCCTCGTAGCTATCTCCCACGATGAGTATCTCGCATCTTGGCAACCTGAGACGAACTCTACCCAAACGTGGTTGTGGGCAACCGATCTCGACGAAACTGCAATGGTGGCGGTAAGTGGAAGGTTATTGAGTTCGTCTTCTAGATAGCACTCGAGCAAGCGAGCATCCCCGACGCACGACACCACTGGCGATGTACAAGACGAACGAACAAATGAGTTGGATACAGTATGAGATCACGATTTCTTCCAGGCGATATTCAAGCACAAGCCGCAATGCAATCCATTTTAATGCAGTGGAACGACATTTCGTCTTGTTGCGTTAGTTCTTGCCGCACTATTGAAGAGGAGGGACAGGGGATGGGAATTCAAACAATCGCTTGAAGCGTATGCAGTCAAACCTAAGAGCCTGATATGACAAGCCGGGTCGATAAGGCCGTTGACATCCTACGTGGGATACTCGGCATGCCGTGCTCTCGGGAAGAAGGCGTGACAACGTGGCATCGGTCCGGTAAAGAAGAATACCTCCCCTCTCCACAGACTCACCATGCTCCTTTGCAAAGCATAATACTTCGTCCGAAGCACATGCAGGCGATCCATTCCCAGGATCCGCTCTTGTATTTCGCGGCTATGCGCTTGACAAAGTTCTTGCTAGCCTGCTGAATAAGCTAAGCTGGGTCAGAGCAGCATAATATGTTGCCATTCATGGTGGGACGTGGGCACGAAAATGGTGTCGAAAACACCGCCGGTGCGCTCTAGGCCGCATGACTGCTCAGTCAGTGAACGAATTGGGAGGTTACTTGCCTTGGTCCGGTAACAACATGGACACTTACGCCGATGACCTCCTGCAACTCTTTGAACAACTTGACCTGAAGAATGTCATCATGGTGGGACATTCTACCGGCGGTGGAGAGGTTGCCCGCTTTCTTGGTCGCCATGGTTCAAGCCGCGTCAAGAAAGAGTGCTCGTCGGCGCTGTCACGCCCCTCATGGTCCAGACTGAGGCCAGCCCGAAAGCCAACCCCCTCGAGGTGTTCGACGGCTTCCGCACTGCTATGATCAATGACCGCGCTCAGTTCTTCCTCGACGTTCCTTCGGGTCCTTTCTTTGGCTTCAACCGTCCTGGCGCCAAGGTCTCTCAAGGATTGATCCAATCCTGGTACCAGCAGGGGATGATGTGCGGGTTCGTCGACGCGTACGAGTGCATCAAGGTCTTCTCGGAGACAGACCTGACGGAGGACCTGAAGAAAATCGATATTCCAGTCTTGGTCATACACGGTGATGACGATCAAGTCGTCCCAATTCAGGCCGCGGCGTACGAAGCCGTCAAATTGTTGAAGAATGGGCGACTCGTCGTTGTGACAGGTGGACCTCTCGCGTTACCAAATATTGGTGTCGATCTGGTCAACCAGGAGTTATCGAAGTTCATAGAGGAGTAGCGAGGTTCAGAACTGCTATAGTGGAGGATGTCTTGATCTGAGCGAGTGAATGGTTCGTTTGCCATGGAAGGAACTGCGTTGCTGGTACTCCATAGAGGTGTGTGAGAGATCGTGAGAGACCAAGTCATCTTAAAGCGGCACTCTTGGAGCTCCGAATGCGGTAAGGTGGCGATCCTGTGTACTTGAGCTCATCGTTCAATGTCCTGGTGAATCCCGATCCAATTCCAACTCGTCAATCCACAGTCAACGGAGAGAGCATGGCACGCCTTTCGGGCCTGCAGCGTGAAGTCCTCAAGTTATACCGCGCATGTCTACGGGCTACGCGAAACAAACCAGAGGTGCGGTAACCCTTCGCGGCTCATTTTGCCACTACGTTCATCGTTACTCATGGCCTCGTCTCTTAGGCGACCAGGGAGAACTTCCGCAATGCAGCACGGTAGTCGCTTTCCATCGCATAGTCGTGGTCCATCGAAGCTAACCAGAACTCTCAGGCGCGAGTTCCGCAAGAACCAAGCTGTTGACAAAAAGGACTTTGGCGCTGTCGAGGCACTGATCAGGATGGGGTTTCGGAAACTCGAGCTGTACTCGTCGCCTGGGGTCAAAGACATTCACTGAACGGCAGCTGGCCCTACAGTCCTCGGCCGAGCCATCACATCGAATGCGCAATACCCAGGATCTTGTGTTTCCCGAACTTCTTACATCGTGAGCAGACTCCCGTGTTCTGGATTCGTTGGATCACGTGACCAGAATCTTCTGGCACTCGGTCGAAGCAACTGACGCCTTGTGGCAAAATCGCGAAGACGCAAGCCAACTCTGCCTGGCCTAAGAATCATCCAGCATCAACGACGAGTCTGCTTTCTCATCCAGCTGGATCGTCCTAGTATCTTCCATCAAACGAGATGAATGGGTATAAAGTCTTCGTTGACACAGCACTTTCTGCAGTTCGACATCAACCAAGATCAAGACACACAAACAAATCTCCTGCATTCGACCAGCACGACCAAAACTTCTCGCACTTCGAGAATTATCAAGCCAACACTCTCCAAAGCTAGAAATATGTCTTTCCTCTTCCCAAGAATCGCTTTCGCGCCCGTGCGCTGCGGACCAGTCCGCCACGAAGCCGCTCCTCTCTTCAGCCTCTTCGATGACACTTTCAACGAGCTCCAGAGAGCTAGCCAAGCAGCACGAAAACAATTCAATCCTCGCTTTGACCTCAAGGAGACGAAGGAGGCTTATTCTTTGGAAGGTGAACTCCCTGGTATAGACCAGAAAGACCTCAACATCGAGTTTACCGACGAACATACCTTGGTCATCAAAGGCCGGACCGACCGCCAATCCGAATCTGGTCGCCGGCCCCAGGCTGTCGAGGCCGAGCAGAAGGCTGCCATCGAGGGAACTTCAGCCAACTCTGAGTCCGGCAGTGTCAAGTCACATCGACCCACTGTTGAAGACGAGGAGCCTTCCAACTCATCGGCCAACACCGAGAACAAGACAGAGGTAGCTGCCTCGACGTCTAATCCGGCTGAGCAGCAAGTAGGAAAGACCGAGGAGCAGCAGCCTGAGCAGCAGTACTGGATCACAGAGCGCCATGTCGGAGAGTTCACCCGCAGCTTCAGCTTCCCTCACCGCGTGAACCAGGAAGCTGTCAAGGCCTCGCTCAAGAACGGCATCCTCAGCATTGTTGTGCCTAAGGCACCTGCCCCTGAGAGCCGACGCATCGCAATCGAGTAAATAACGGGATGTTCAAATCGAGGACATTGGCTTCTGTACAACACCGGCATAACGACTGCATAGCGTGGCGTTACAACAATGGCATATTGCGTAGGTAGCGCAATTACTTGGCGATCAGGGTCGGGTGGGGGAGTGACATCTTGACTCCCTTTTAGCATAGGACGATTGATAGACAAATCCATTCTTGACACACATTTCCATCATTGGCTTTTTGACTAGTGAGTGTATACTTTCCTGTCACTTCCGTGTACGGCGTACTTTGCCGAAAATAAACTCAGTCCCTCAGACTTGCACATGCCGTCGAAGTTCTCCATTCAACAACCCAATCACAGCGTAGGGCCGCACACCCAACCTTTTGTTCAACACCGACAGGTGGATGGGAGGCTGGGACACATAGCTAGGGCAGACTGAGTACTGCATACTCCCCGCATGTGTCTCAAAAGAGTTCTGCTGGTCGATGATCCCGGAAACTCTGGTGTGCAGCTGACGCACAGTACGAGTAAATGTTGACCATCTCCTCACTTGCGTCGGCGTGTCTGTCTTGGCTGCATGAGTTGACATGCACGGACTGTGCGCTACATACGCGGCCTCGACATATCCGTGTTTAGTTCGACGTGCGGCGGTCTCAATTGATGTGCGAGTTACTTTGCACTCGCCACAGAGGTGGTTGTATCACGAAGTTCTCGCCCAAGGAACAACCCCGATCGACAGCTCACTCCGGAGTGGCGAGCCGGATATTCGAGGTTGATCGCGCCCCATCAGACGATCAGTGGCTGAACGATGGCGTCAGGCGTGCCTGGACCGTGTCCCCCGGGCATCTGGCCCCCCAGAATCGGGGAAAGCAGCTGTGGCGCCCCATCTCGGTTGTCTGATGGTGTGTTGAGGGAATGGTTTAGCGGTGGCTGACACTTGGCTTTTTGGCGCATTCTGCTGCAGCCAAATCAGGTTCTTAACATTGGCCGGCCAGTTCTTTGCTTCGCTTCGTGGGTCGCGGCTTCCCTGGCAACGAATTGCGTGTGGCGCCGTGCGTTTCAGCCAATGGGTCCTCCATAACTGGGTCCTCGCTCAATCTCCACCCCAGGAAGGATGATAGCTCTTCAGACTCCATGCTGCCTCGCGGTCATGGCCCGGGCTTCTGGTGAACTTGAAACTGACAGTTCGTCATGGATCAGTGACCACTTCCATGCCCGCCACCTCACCAGTCCTCTTCCCCCATCACCACCATATCTCTGAAGCTACAGAGGAGAGAGTCCGCACTGCTTCGCTGCTTGTGTTGGTCTCGACTCAGTCTACGTCTGAAGCTGGTCTCAGTCTCAATTTGCTCATTCGTTTGAGCCGGTCTCTTCAGAGTCACCTCACTTGTTCCTGGCGAACAGGTCACTATTGCGGCGGAGACATTGACCTTATTTGCCCGTGGCGAAAGGTCGCCAGGTCAATATTTGCATAGCGGTCGCAGCACACGCTATCACGAGAGGTCATTAGCTAGTGCCACGACATATTCCCATGGAGGTGGAGTGATGCCTTCGAGGACTTGATATCTCTCTCTATCACTGGGACTTAGAAAGCTTTCGCGTCCCAGTCCTCCCGCATATAGGGACATACTAAGTCAAGATGCGGTTTGGTCGGCGCAGATCGAGTCTTGCAGCCGACCCTGTCCAGACTGAACCCGAAGCTCGTCGACGAAACCGCCTGTCGAAGCCCCTCACGAGCAATGCGACCAAAATCCAGACTTCCACGAGTGCACCGGCGCTTAGTCTACAGGTTCCCGGCCAGAGCAAGAATGCAAGCACGACAGAGCTGCCTGCCAGCCCGTTGTCGTCGATCGCGGGCACTGCATTGCGCCAACACATCCGGAACGATGTCCTCGCCCGAGAAGATGACAGTCACTCCCCGACTCGCACAGCCAAGCATGACTCGAGCTGGAGGGTAGCGTATATGGTCAGTCGAATTGAGGGAAAGAAGCCACCCGCCGAAATCCACCAGAAGCGACCGCAGCAACAGCAACTAGAATCGGTGCCATTATCTCCAGTCAGACCACAAAAGAGGAAGTCTAGTCTACTTCGCCGGCTGTCCTTGCAGAGACAGCCCAGTCTAAGCCGGACTCCCAGTTATGAACGAGTTAACTCGCTCAGGTCGGAGACGGCGGTTGCGAACACACCAACTCCTTCGCTCGACCAGATTGCGGAATCGCCTTCCATTCCTCCAACCCGTCGGGCCTCTTTCGCCCCTGGCACTGCCACCAGGAAGGCATCCCCCATCAAGTCTAAACAAGATATACAAGTGCACAAGTTCAAAGAGCTGGAAGACCCTGCAGCAAGAGTTGTAGACTTGGATTATTTGGATTGGCAACCTCCGCCGCCACGGACTGTTGGTAGGGCGGGTACACCGTCAGACATGGGCTATTCGCAGCTGGGCGGCTTGAGGCACGGTTCTCTGCAGATCGTCAACGGTCGTGCTTCGCCAGCTGTCAGCGAGGCGTCAAAAGTGTCGAGGCAGCTTCTGGCTAACCATCCACCGCACAGAGATGTTTCCAGCGAGTACGGCGATACAGAAGAAGAGGTCGAACAATTCGATCTCACGTCCATTCACGGCAACCGCACTGTCCCAGCGGAGCGTCGAATCTTCAGCTGGGAAAAGGACGATGACGAAGTTGTACCACGAACCCATCCGCTGCAGACCGTCATGAGTCCAGAAGAAGAAACCACCACTGTGAACCACATTTCGCGGATGGCAAATGAATATATTGCCGAGCTCCCCGCTAGTCCATATGAGCAGCGAAGACAAAGCTCTCCCGTCGGCAGTATTCGAAGAGCTCGATCTGAGTCGTCCCTTTGGAGGGCAAGCTCGTGCGCATCACTGCAAAGGTCACCGCCAATTGAGAAAGGCTTGAGTGAGCTTTCTCCAGGCAGTCCCTCGCAGCCGTCGCTCTCCCCAACGGGCTCGGTAATCCGCAAAACGAGTTTCGAGACAGTAAGAGGCCGGGGCCGACGAGTCCTGCAAGTGACGACTGATCATAAACACCACGCTTCTGATAGCACATCGAGCTGGTATTCTCCGGTTGAGCCAGCCATCCCAGCTGACGAAGCCTTCCAATCAGCGCTTGAATTTCAAGTTCAGCTGTCACCCTCTAAAGATGGACTTAAGCCGTTTCGTGCGCCAGAGAAATCAGACAGTGGCTATAGCTCTGGCAACTCTCTCCGATCTCTACAAATCGCCAAGCGGACACCCCCACCACCTGTAGAGTTGGAAGCATCGCCACAGGTATCAAATTCGTCAATGGATGCCGCTACACCGCAATCAGGTCAACCTACCTCGTTCCTTGTCACAAGGCCGTCCATCCTTAAGTTGCGAAAGACTGAGCCCAACGTGCCGACTTTTGCCAATTCGCGACCAAACGTTGTGTCAGTAGAGCCAGCGGTTGCTGCGATGGAAACAGCTGTTCCTGGACCTGCAGCTGATGGCCCCAGACCCTCAAAGGCCCGGAAAAAGTTAATGAAGAAAAGACGCCCAGTGAGCCAAAGTCCCGGTCAGATTTCGGTTGTCAAGGTCCAGTCCTTTGAGGTGGAAAGCATTCCTCAGGTTTCTCCGGCCGCACGAGAAAACCTTCGCATAAGGTCACAAACAGTGCCTGAACTGCAGCGAACTTATATGACATCTGACATCATGGGAAACACGCCAAGTGAATCTCAGCTTGACCTGTCCAATACCGAGTTCAGGTTTCCTTCGCCTGGTCCGGTGCAGTCTCTTCAAGTCAAGCGATCGAGGTCTCGCAGTCGACCAAGGTCGTGGTTTGAACGCTCCAAAACGGACACGTCAAATTCAAGAGGCGATTCAGGCATCAGTCGAGCCCAGGCGAATGCCATCATCGATCATTTCGGTACTGATGGTGCAGGATTGGGGAGAAGTCCGTACGACTTGAGCAGCCACGGCGTTGTTTCGCAACCGCCAGGCACTGTCCCCGTCAACTCTGCAGCTCCTTTCCAATCCAGGTCGATGATGGATGACAGAACAGCCGCAGATTTATCGCGGCGCCGGAGTCGATCCCTTCGGGAGCGGGAATACACGGTCCCAGAGCGCCGACTTTCCTTCAACGACAGAGGTGGCATCCCTGGTAAGAACCTCAGGCCAGCCAGTTTTTTCAGTGAAGCGCCTCCTATCACAGCTGAAATGTTGGAGAAAGCATATCGGACCTCTTCTATGCAACGACAGCCGTCATGGAGCACTGATCTAGCGCCACCTCCTCCACCACATTCGTCACGTCCTTCATATCTTGACTATGACGAGGACGAGTCTGATCCAGTGGCGCCGCCACCTCCGCCGCATTCCCCTCGGCCGATCGACATAACGGCTGACCCTTGGATTGCTGAGGCTGCGGCCTGGAAAGCTCGTAGAAAATCTGCAGGAGAAGGTCTAAGACGACAAGCCTGGGACTATCAGGAGTACGAAGGGTATCCTGAAAGTTCCGATAATGAACTCTTATACCCAGTTATACCTCCAGGACAGCAGGCCGATTTGGAGCAATACCTCTCTCCCGAGAAGTTTTCCTCGTCCCCGCAAGAGTACCACAGAGAGAACAGGAGATCATCATTGCACCATCAGGTGTTTCGTTCGGCTTATGAGCCCTTAAATGCTGAGCCAAATGAGCATGAACCCGCGTACGTGAGACAGTCTCGAGAGCACTTCATGACGCACGACACTCACTACCCACGAATGACCCAGTCGGAAGAACCTTCTCGCCACCGTCCCCTCCCTCAACCGCGGCCTGCGAACGGAGCTGTTTCCCCACGACCACACTCGAGAGCAAACAGTGCGCGCAGCTTTGCCTCGTCGATAGCGGAAGAACTGCATCCACGGCATCTGGAGAGGCAGCATCCTCCACCAGCATTTGGGCGCTATTCGGGTGGATTGGCCTTTGGCTATGAACACGGAAGTGGATTCGGCGGCTCAGCTGGGACCAGATCTTCAAGCGGGCAAGCCGGCGCTTCGAGGAAAGGCGTCTTCCTAAGGGCTAGCCACGGCGTTGACCTGGGAGATGTGCCTGTTGGGATCATGGCGAGACAGTGAGTACAACACCCTCAAGTCTCGTAGTCCAGCACTGCGAGTGACGGGCGCATCTCCGGAGCCCTAGATCATGCGGTCCCGGGTGGACTTTTATGACGTTTGGTTACAAATTCTGGAGAACATATCGGTGCAGGGTGTATGAGCGACCAGTCTCGGGTTGAAGTGAACCAGTTGAGAAACACGGCGGCAACTTTTTGATTATATCTAGTACTTGGATGAGGCTAGATTGCCGTGGCTCGCAGCGCTCGATCACGTTTATAAAGTACAGACCCAGGTTGGACAGTCAGTGACTTTCAGAAAGCTCCCAGTTGGAAAACAGGCCAGAAATCTTATTCCAGTTTATATCTACAGTTTATACTCTCGATGTGTTCGATATGTTTGTTGTCCGCGTGAAACAACGTGGAACGAGGACATTGCAGTGACTGTGCGAATAGGGTACTTGACTGAAAGTTCAAAGTTCACAATGAGATCAAGCAGATGCACCGGTCACATCCCCGTGAAGGTGACAAGGTGACCCGGTGACAATTTGTGAAGGGCTACACTTTTGTCCAGGAAGGAGATGCAGAATATATCAATATATATGTATATTTCCCAATCGATCTTCAAAATCAGCGTCGAGCTCATCTTTCACTCAACCATTTACGAGGTGTTGCGCCCCAAAAACCTATCACATCCCGGCCCCTACATGATATCCCATCGCCCTCATCGCCAAAAAATACCGAGAGACCCGCAAGGAGGTTTGGCGCCCCAAACACGCGCATGACACGCTACGCGCGCACTTAAACCTTATTTCTGAGAGCACGTGGACAATTGCATCTCGTCTTCAGTAATCCACTCCCGCAGTACTCCGTACTCCGGACTGTGTATGAGGTATGAGGTAGGAGGTAGGCGAATTCATTTGTCTTGTTCCGTGGAACTCGGTCCGAACTGCTCTACGTCTCTGCTTCGTTCTGCAGTGTCGGATTTGGCTTCTTATCCGTGAAAGTCAAACGAAACATCGCAACGAAAGTGTGCGGCGGTGCTTCAGATCATCCCAATCACGTGATAATAAAGGCTTGGCAAGGCCTAGGCGCCAAACGCGCATATCTACTTTAACTTCTACTCTGTACTCGTACAGATTTATTTATTCGATGATCATACATATCCGGCCCAAACCTTTCCTCTTCTTCAACGGCACCTCGGCGTCAATGACCTCTTGGAGTCCGGTCTGCATGTCCACCTCCATGGGATCCCAGGCCCATTTGTCCCGCCAGAAGAAGATCCGGTGGCCGAAGTACATCAGGAAGAAGATGGGGATGCCGATGTATGCTGTGAGGAAGGAGCTGGCTGACCACTTGCTAGGGAAGAAGACGGTGAAGCCGTTGATGAGGCAGAGGATCGTGAACGACACCATGGCGACGTACGCTCCGTACGGTTGGAGCCAGTTGCGATAGATCGGTTGCACGTTCTGCGCCGCGCACGCCTTTCGGAACCGGAGAAACACAATCATACAGCAAACCCATGACGTCATGCCCCACGTGTTTGTTAAGTTGACAAACCAGTTAAAGACGACGGACCCGTCGTCGGCGACGTTAAGATATGCCAGGCCGCAGAAAAGGGAGGAGCAGGCGACTGCCATACTAAAATACCCCGTTAGCATGGACCTGGATCTGGGGGCAGTAACAGAACTCACTATGGCACGCCCCAGCGGTTGCAGGCCTTGAAGATTCGCGGAGCAGATCCTTGGACGGCCAGGGAATACAGTGCGCGGGAGGAGATGTACAAGAACGAATTGCCGGATGACCACGCCGAAATCAGGATGACGGCGTTGACGATAGACGGAAGCGTGGAAATCCCCGCGTTTGCGACAGCCACGACGAACGGGGAAGATCCGGCTCCAGCTCCACCGTTGGTCAATCGTTCATCATTGCTCGGGCAGGTCACCCCGATGGCGAGGACGCCTAGGACATAGAAGATGACGAGACGATAGAAGTAGCGTCGGGAGGCGATGGGGAGGTTGCGTCGTGGCGATACCATTTCACCGCCCGTAACAACCAGGAGCTCCGGCGCGAACGTGAAGGGGAAGACGGACGAAACCAGCGTTTGGAAGAAAGAGATGAAGCGCCCAGTATCGCCTCCGACGATATAAGGGTGGGCTGCGCCCGGGTCGTTCCAGTATCGGAAGCCGAGGCGGTCGTGGGAGGGACCGCCACCCCAGAAGAGAATGAAGCTTAAAAGGAGCAGGCCGATCATCAGGATAACCTTCGTGCCTGCGAACCAGAATTCGGTTTCGCCATAGAATTTGACGGGCAGGAAGTTGAGCGCGACAATCACGACCAACATGATGGTCATCCAGACAGCGATGTTGACGTCGTTGGGCCAGTAGTTGATGACAAGACCTGCGGCGGTGATTTCGTATGGGACCAAGATACCCAACGCGTACCAATAAAGGTAGCCTAGAGCAAAGCCCAGGGACCGAGAAACGTAGCGATAGCCGTAGTAGGACATTGTGCCGCCGTGAACCGGAAGGTAGGCGGCCACTTCGGTGACGGCAGTGACGACGCAGTAGACCAGGACCGTGATAATAACATAGGCTGCCAGAAGAAATGCTGGGCCACCGAGAGCGAGATTCTGACCAGAACCGACGAACAGCCTAGGTGGGCGAATGTCAGTCGCCATGATGAAGATAACGGCGAACGGAGAATTGAGACATACCCAGTACCGATGGTTCCTCCCAGCGCGATCATCTGAGCATGTCTGCTCTTCAGACCACGTTGAGTGATGTTGTAGCGGTCATCGAGCAAGTCTGCCGCGATGATCGACTCCACCACAGACGACTTTCGGTCTGTGATTGAGTGTTTGCCGCCATGTTCGTCGACGGAGACGTGGTTCTTGACAGGCTCGATGCCCTTCTCGGGGTCAGTGTAGTCTTTCTCGGCCATGGCGGCCGTGCTCCTGGCTCCCTGGAAGGTCGGATCTGCCCTGCTCACGGGGGTGTTTTAGATCGACGGACTTCTCTGACGAAGGGCGACCAGAGCAGGTGAGGGAAGGGAGGGAGAGGCCGGGACATGGTCAAGATGGGGGTCAGAAGGATCTCTTTATAACTGGGTCGGTGGGTGCTCCGTGGTGGTATGCGCACAGAAACAGCAACGCGACAGTCAAGGCTCGAGCTGACTGCCTGGTGGGGGTGGGATCAGAGTAGCGCAGCACTGTCAGTGGCTATTGATAAGGTAGTGCGTGAAGAGGGCATGCGAAGGCGAGATGTAAGACTCATTCTGGTCGCTCTTGGCTGCAACGAAAAGGGCACTTGGCCACCCGCCGTCGAAGCTCTCTAAGCCTGCGTCCGCTGCATATCTTCGCGCAGGGGTCATGTATCTGACCTCCCTTCCCATTGGACCCATGTCGCTCCATTGCGGCCGGGATCAGATATCCTCACACGGCTTGCCCAGCCAGCCCGGCGTGCCCAGACCAGAGGCTGCGATAAGCATCGGCCCACGCGTTGATGTCGTCTTGAACGATGTCTTGACACGTTGGTCGCTTCTTCAACGGCCGCCGTGGCTTGGGGCTCTCGAATGTCACTGAGCAGCAGACGGCGTTCTGCGTGATCGCCATGGCCCTCGATATACACCAACACCTCAGGCGCCATGGCAAGCAATTGCTAATCATGCTCGCCTTGGTCTCCCGGGCGGCGATCGCAAGCATTCAAGTTTGCCTGGCGATCGACCGTCGACGGCGTTGTGCAACCACCATTCTAGTAATAAATGCCCTCCTCGCGACTTCTGAAGCGAGGTCCGAGCTTGAGCACCAATTTGCTGATGCTGCATGGTAGCAACGAGCTAGGACCCCAGCTGCATGCCCCATGGCCACGCCACGCCACGTGCCGAGTCCATGGTACTGGCACCAGAAGCATCTCCCCGCGCAATGGATATGGCTACGACTATGCTCCCGCCTGGGCCAAGGCCGTTCAGAGCAGGCACGTAGGAACTGGGCCATGCTTCGAGAATGCCCGGCGAATCCTTCAGACCGATTGAGAAGTGCTGATTTGATAGGCGAACCACCGAACCGAGACCAGTACGAGTACTTATCTCAGGCACAAATAGATCCGACCTATAGTTGCCTCGCCCCATGCCTCCCGAACTCAAAACTTCCTCCGTCGGCAGGAAAGATATTACTGTCATCATCCTTTGCCCGGCATTTGCCACCGATGCTCTCCACGGTACTGGTAGAGCACTGGATATGTGCGTTACCGTTCTCGACCGTTTCAAGCTTCTCTACCTCGAGATAACAAGATTGTGGCTTGCAGAGCGGACATGTCCTGACTTTCAGACTAAAGATGATTTGCGCTTGGCTTCCCCAGTTTGTCCAGCCTCAATCTGCGAGTACGAGGTATGCATCTGGCAAGCGGAGATGTGAGCCTGTACCCCGTACGAATTACGAATATGGTGACTTGCAAGGAGCCCGGGGGGCACGAATTTATCGAGGAGGGTGCCAAGGGAAGACAAGAGGACACACGAAGCCAGCAACGTCGCTGTCGATCAATCAGCAGGGTAGAATGTTGCTTTAGCGCGACGGGTACAGGCGTTCGCTGAGCAAGCCCGGACATGCCCGCAGACGTCGAGCTGTGCGGTTCAACGCTCGCAGGTGTACGGAGCACTGCTTCTGTGGACGACATGCATTATCCACCGTCGCGTCTTGACGTTCAATACTCGGATCGTCTCAAGCGTGTAGCACAAATATCAGACCCCAGGTGACGGTACACAAGGTCAGGCACATGGGAATGATCTTTGGGAAACTGCAGCGTTGAGACAGGAAACAGGCCTGAGCGACGAAATGCCTATCAGCTTGTGGATCGTGTTGGCCCTGATAATTTATGCTGCGACGCGTCCTTCCTCGCGTGCTGCAAAGCTCAGGAAAATCCCGGGCTCATGGCTTTATGCGACAACTAGGTACAGATTGGCCTGGGATGCGTGGCACGCGCGTTCAATCCATGCTGTTCACGGCCTGCACCGAAAATACGGCCCAGTTGTTCGCATTGGACCGAATGAAATCTCCTTCAACAGTCTGTCCGCGCTGAGGACGATATACGGCGCCGGCAGCGGCTTCGAACGAACCGACTTTTACAGAATGTTCGACGTCTATGGCCGACCGAATCTGTTCACGTTTGCGGCGGGCCAGCTCCATCGTGAACGAAAGAAGCTGATCAGTCACATCTATGCAAATCAGACCGTTCTGTCGCCTCACTTCGCGGGCCTGGTGAAGAGCAAGGTGGCCGCCTACCTCAACCTCCTTGAGCGGGAGCCGGACCTCGGTAGCGAGATCTTCGCCAGTTTGCATTACTTTTCCTTGGACGCAATATCTGAATTCGTCTATGGATCTAAACATGGGGGCACGACTGCCCTGGCGGGATCCAAGCAGTCAAGGGACTTGATCCAAGACATACTCGATCCAGCGCGACGGCGATTGGCGTGGTTCGCGGTCCATTTTCCTGCTTACACCAAGTGGATTACAACCCGCACCGGTATCTTGGAGAGACTGCTTACTTCGATGGGCATGATGCCGATGCGGAAGCCTTTCACGTATTCTGGCATCCGTCAGCATGCATTGGAAGCCTTCCGCAGCTTCAAGGGTGCGCCACACAAAGACAAGGCCGACAGTGCTGATTCAACCGTCATCGGTCGCTTGTTCAAGGTCCAGGAGGCGGCAAACCTGTCCGACTTGGACATTGCTTCTGAATGTGCTGACCATTTGTTGGCAGGAATTGACACCACTTCAGACTCCCTGATGTTCATGATCTGGGCCCTTTCTTTGCCCCGGCGCAAGGATTGCCAAGAGAGGTTGAGAGAGGAGTTGTCGCAGATCTCCGTGGACAGCCAGGGCCTTCCTGAGCCTAAGGATCTAACTCAGCTACCCTATCTGAATGCAGTCGTCCGGGAGTGCCTGAGATTGTACTCGCCCTTGCCTGCCTTTGAGCCTCGCTCCTCGCCCGTTGACACAGTGGTTGATGGCTACGAGGTCCCTGCGGGCACAGTAGTGGGCATGTCACCATTCTGCCTCCACCGGGAAGAAACTGTGTATCCTTCCGCCTTGACCTTCAGACCAGAGCGGTGGCTTACAGATCGTGGCACCCTCATCCCTGAATCGGATCCCAGGAACCGAACTTTCTGGGCTTTCTCCAGCGGGGCCCGCATGTGTATTGGAATGCATCTGGCAAACGCAGAGATGCTTACCTTACTGGCTGCAGTGTATCGGAAGTACAAGACATCTGCAAATCACCCGGATACCTCTCCAGGAATTACAAGTCGATTCGAGATTTTCTTCGATGAGACAATGCCGAAGATGGTGGAACATGAGTGCCACATCAGCTTCACAACGCTTGGTTGACATTTGACGTCCGGCGGGCAGGTCGCTGACAGTTGCCCTTTCCCTAGCGGAAAAGAGCAGACTGATGGCACCATGAACAGGAGATCAGGAACACGCGGCGAGATGCGTACCGTACCAGACAAGAATTCAATATATATGCACACAACCGTGCTCAAAGCAGGTTGATTTGACCAGAGACTGCCAACTCAGACCGCCCATGTCACACAAGAGGATTGCCTGGAAACAACCTCCAAGTTTTGTGCCTGTTCCTCATCTGAAATCGTATGAGGTGTGGCAGATATTCAGTCTCAAAATGACACAGCAGTTGACGCGAGATGACACCCTTCTGCGGTCCGGGCTCCCGGCAACCTGATTTCACAATCTTTCAAATTAAGTCTCCATCCCTTGCTAGGTCCATGTTCTCGTCCGTCTACTCCCCCCTTCTTCTTGAGTCTTCAGTAAAGAACTGCTGGCAAAATGTGCGTGACGGAGGTCTGGAGCTACCGCGAGTGTGGCTGTTTCTACAATCATAGCGTGCTTTGCCGGTCTTATCAACAACAATGCACCCCTTGCTTTGCCCCGAACATACAATACCCATTGCGCCGATGGCTTCAAGAGACGGGAGTCAACACCGAGATGGCACACAAGCACCTTGGAGAGCGAGCGAGGTCTACCGAACCCCAGAACTGCGCCAACCACCGCACCGTGCAGAAGTCATTTCTCAACCAGATATGCGAAGATTGTCTGCTCGCAGAGCTTGATGCTGGGACCAACCCTGATCGCAATGTAGAAAACGCACACGAGACTGAGGTTACTGTCCACGGGAGCGGCGAGGGCCTAATTTGGGATAGTGAGGTGAAAATCGAGATTGAAGGTCACGGACTGGTGTCTCCGACGAGCCCAGCTGTACAGAATGCTCCTCAACCTATTATCGAACCCCTTGACAACAGGCAAATTTTCGAGAGTCAGGTCCAGATCACAATACAGTACGAAGACCACGGTGAGACTGAAGAAGACTTGCGTTCACCGACCTTCACAGCGTCGCCACCCGTCCGTTCCTCGCGCACCTCTTCGGTCGGCATATCACCAGCAGGCGCGCGTTACACCCACTCCTGCCAACTCAGGTCACCCAACTACCTGTCCAAGAGGCATGGGCGTGACTTCCGAAGCAAGCTTTCTGAGCTCGATGACGCTGATGACGAGTTCGAGCGCATGGAACGGTTTTCAGGTAATCCTCGACAGACAGAGCGAGGACGAGCTTTGACCCGGTCAAACCTACGCAAGGTTGAGAAGAGCGAGCCAGAGGCCGAGATGCCGGTCGAGTCTGTCAGTGTGCGTACTGCTGGCTGGCCGGGATCTAGATTTCACAGCCTCAGGTCCTTATCCACAACATTCGTCTCTGTTGTGAGAGGCGACGAGGCGAAAACTGTCCAGACCTCGGCGACCTATCCGACAAGCAGTTCATCCTTGTCGGTGCCACGGATAAGGAACCCCTTCCGCACCATTCGCAGCCGCAGAAGTTCGCCCCTGATGCAGGAGTCGAGTTCGCTCTTCCATGCATCTTGGAAAGATTCTCCTGTCAATCATGGATTAGTCTCTGAAGCACATAATTTGCAACTCATGCTGCCTAGGAAATCGACTTTGAAGGATCTCACACTCTGTTTGGCAAAAGACCTCAAACGCACAAAGGCGGTGTGGCCGCCGTCCACCGGTACACCTTGTGAACTCCTTCAGAGTCCGAGCAGTATGGGGATATATAGTGACTGCGACGATCAGGAGACGGCCTTCTCAGAAACGCAAACGTCGGACTCCCATTCTGATACTGCCTTTGAGACCGATTCAAGAGTCACCAGTCTACACAGCGAAGCGACGCCAGCGCATTACGGGGATAGAGAAACCTCGGGCTGCTGCATGATCCCGAGCATTCCGAAACCGTCGACTATGAACACCCTGCGTGCTGTCATCGATGACCTGGGTCTGGGAGTTGATACTCAAGGTGCTTGTCCGTCACAGGGCCCGATCGCACCAGATGTAAGGTAGTCGTACAATGCCGGATAGCTGATGTTGCCGAACATGGTCACATCGCCACCCCTGGGCTACCGACGCAGCGAGAGCAGCTACACGGTTGTCACCATCGGAAAGGCAAGAAATAAATCACGAACTATGCCGCGACGTCGGCATCCTTGAAATCGCCTGAGGGACAGTCCATGTCTTCCAACCAGTACTCACACGAGGCAGTACACAAACCCGATTCAACGCCGGCTTCTGAAACGGGGCACGGATACTGAGTCTTAGATAGTCTAAGAGAAAAGGAGGCCCAGGCTGTGCGAATGAGTCATATATATTAGCCGGCACATCGAACATGATTCCTGACCATGCAGCGAGGCGACATTGGAGCGAGATGAAACAGAGATGCGCAAGGGGGTGAAGGGGGCAGAATGGCAGGTTTGAAATGCGTGCATAGTGCATACGTGGACCAATAGGAACCGGGCCGCTGTCTCACGTGATCTGTGACGAGGCTTCGATAGTTGGAGTCGGCGGTGGAGTCTCGATCAATTCACAATTCACAAGCCAAAATTATTGTCACGAAGCCGTAGTGTCCATTTTACCGTGGTGCCGCATCCTTACTATCGCCGTTCGTCGAGATCCTTGGTGTTTTGGCTCACGGACTGCTGTTTGCGTCTGCTGTCTCTCACGCAGCCCACACCCATCTACCGCTATATTTAATCCCAGCCCAGACCCAACAAAGCGGTCTCTCGGCAGACACGCGCCGGTGCACATTCCAGTCCTCCACCCACATCCTGTGATCGCCGCGACCGACTACCCTCGCTCGTGTATGCCATAGACCGTTATCAGTCAACATGTCTGTCCTCCCTGCCGAGGTGCAGGGAGCCTTGACCCAACTCCTCCAAGCCCTCCAATCGCCCGACAACACTCTCCGCAGTCAGGCGGAGGAGCAACTCAACAATGACTGGACCCCCAATCGCCCGGAGATGTTGTTGATGGGATTGGCCGAGCAACTACAGGTCGCGGAAAATCCTTCGGTATGTCAGAAAGATATTGTCTCTGGGAGGATGCTGAGAGATACCCCCAGACACGATCATTTGCCGCAGTCTTGTTCCGCAAGCAAGCCTCGAAGCAACGGAAGATCCCCCCCGGTAACGAGTCGAAAGAACTCTTCTGGACGCTCAGCGGCGAGGCCAAGGGGGCCATTCGGTCAAAGTTACTTGAAGGACTGGCCAGAGAACAGGTCAGTCCCGTGAGGAATAAGATTGGAGATGCAATTGCAGAGATCGCCCGACAATATGTCGAGTCTGGTAAGCAGTCTGTCAGTAACCGGCTCCGCTCTGGCTAATACAACCCAAAGGCGAGAATGAGACGTGGGTCGAGCTTCTCCACGCCTTGTTCCAGGCCAGTCAGTCTTCCGAGCCTGGGATGCGTGAATGTGCATTTCGAATATTCGCGACGACCCCCGGAGTCATCGAACGAGAACACGAAGGTGTGGTGCAAGAGGTGTTTCTCAAGGGTTTCAAAGACAACTCAGTCGACGTAAGATCCGTGACCCCAAGCATTTAGGGACGCCGTACTCATTCCTCCAGGTCCGACTATCTGCCACCGAAGCATTTACTGCCTTTTTCCATTCCATCAAGAAGAAGACACAGCCGAAATACTACTCTCTGGTCCCGGAAATCCTCAACATTCTGCCGCCCTTGAAAGAAGCTGGAGACACAGACAATCTATCGAGAGCGTTGGTTGTTCTCATCGAACTCGCCGAAATATGCCCCAAGATGTTCAAAGGTTTATTCAACAACCTCGTCAAGTTCAGCGTCTCGGTCATCCAGGACAAAGAACTGGGCGATCAGACGCGCCAGAACGGATTGGAGCTGATGGCCACTTTCGCGGAATGGGCCCCTGCCATGTGCAAAAAGGACCCGTCCTACACGAACGACATGGTCACACAGTGTCTCAGCTTGATGACTGACATTGGCATCGACGATGACGATGCTGCAGAGTGGAATGCCACCGAAGATCTCGATGGGGAGGACCAAGAAATGAACCATGTGGCCGGCGAGCAAACCATGGATCGCTTGGCAAACAAGCTTGGAGGGCAGATCATGCTCCCTGCGACCTTCACCTGGCTGCCGAGGATGATGCATTCGGCCTCGTGGCGAGATCGTCACGCGGCTCTGATGGCCATTTCCGCAATCTCGGAAGGTTGTCGAGACCTGATGATCGGCGAGCTTGATAAGGTTCTGGAACTCGTGGTCCCATCACTGAGAGATCCTCATCCCCGAGTCAGGTTCGCGGGATGTAATGCCTTGGGCCAGATGAGCACCGACTTCGCAGGGCCTATGCAAGAAAAGTACCACCAAGTCGTCCTGACCAATATCATCCCCGTGCTCGAGGCTCCAGAGCCCCGTGTTCAGGCCCACGCCGCTGCAGCGCTCGTCAACTTTTGCGAGGAGGCAGAAAAGTCGATATTGGAACCTTATCTCGACCAATTACTCAGTCACCTCCTGCAGCTGCTACAGTCTCCCAAGCGATATGTCCAGGAACAGGCACTGTCGACGATTGCCACCATTGCTGACTCGGCCGAGAGTGCTTTCGTGCGATACTACGACACCTTGATGCCTCTCCTTTTCAACGTCCTGCGATCCGAACAATCGAAAGAATATCGTCTGTTGCGTGCCAAAGCAATGGAATGCGCCACACTCATTGCACTGGCTGTCGGCAAGGAGAAGATGGGCCAAGATGGCATCACACTGGTCCAGATCCTGGGCAACATCCAGCAAAACATCGCCGATGACGATGATCCGCAATCACAATACTTGCTCCACTGCTGGGGACGAATGTGTAGAGTCTTGGGCAGTGATTTCGTGCCGTACCTTCCCGGTGTCATGCCTCCGCTCCTTGAACTCGCCGCTGCAAAGGCCGACATTCAGTTGATTGACAGCGAGGACGAGGCGATAGATGAAGAAGGCTGGGAACTGGTGCCCCTGAAAGGCAAGGTGATTGGCATCAAAACATCAACCTTGGAGGACAAGAACACCTCGATCGAACTTATAACGATATACGCTCAAATCTTGGAGGCAGACTTCGAACCCTACGTGGCTGATATCACGGAACGAATCGCTCTCCCAGGACTCGCGTTCTTCTTCCACGACCCCGTCCGCGTCTCTTGCGCCAAGCTCCTCCCTCAACTGCTCAACTCGATCAAAAAACGCTACGGCGAACAATCACCACAACTCCAGGAGATATGGGCGAAATGCTGCCCCAAGGAGATCGAGATCCTCAGTGCAGAACCCTCGATCGACACCCTGGCAGAAATGTATCAGTGTTTTTACGAGAGCGTCGAAGTCGTTGGTAAAGGATGCCTCACGCAAGACAACATGGAAAAGTTCATCGAGTCGGTGCAATCGACATTGGAAGAGTTCCAGAAACGCGTACAAGAACGGGCGGAAGAGAGAGCCGCGGACGCGGCAGCCAACCAGGGCGCTGGCGATGCCGACGAAGACGACTCGCTCTCGATTCAGTATGCCATTGAGGACGACCAGACCCTCCTCTCCGACATGAACAAAGCCTTCCACACGGTGTTCAAGAACATGGGCGTGGCGTTCCTCCCGACATGGCAGAGACTGATGCCCTTTTATGACGGATTCGCCACGTCGGCGGACCCCATGCAACGCCAATGGGCAATCTGCATTTTTGACGATGTCCTCGAATTTTGCGGCCCACAGTCATACCAGTACTCGGAGCATATCATCAACCCGCTCATCAACGGCATGCGTGACGAGAATGCCAACAACAGACAAGCAGCGGCCTACGGGGTGGGTGTCGCGGCTCAAAGGGGCGGAGAGCAGTGGAGCGATTTCGTGGCCGCTTCGGTCGACACGCTCCTCCAAGTGACGCGCGTCCCTAATGCCCGGAGCGACGACGAAGTCTTTGCGACGGAGAACGCGTGCGCGGCGGTGGCCAAGATCCTGCACTTTAATGCCTCCAGGGTTGTCAACCCGCAGGGAATCGTTGAGCAGTGGCTCGATGCGCTGCCTGTCGTGAATGATGAAGAGGCCGCGCCATATGCGTATAGTTTCGTCGCGCAGTTGATTGATCAGTAAGTACATGGCCACGTGGACGGTCGTTCACGTACGATGCTTCGGATCGCTGACTGCCATCTCACAGAGAAAATCCCGCCGTCTTCGCCAAAGCGGCGCAGGTGTTTCATCACATTGCACTCGCGCTGGAGGCCGAGATGATCCAAGGCGCGACGGCCAAGAAGATTGTCGAGAGCGCCAAGGTGTTGGTGGGCAAGACGGGGATCAACGCCGAGCAGACGCTGCAGGCGTTAAGTGCCGACGGGCAGAGGACTGTGAGGAGTTATTTCTCGTGATGCCACCGGCTGCCCTGGGATTGGGAGATGCGGCAGCAGATAGAGATGCAGTGTCTAGCTATGATTCAACTTTTGAGGCCCACAACGCAAGCATGAAACTGTCCGTGCCAGAGCAAGCGGTGCAAGTGACCGTCTGCAACACCGCGCGACCCCATTAGGTACAGTCTCTGATCTTCATGCAGGCAAATGACCAAGAGGGCACGAGGCGAGGATAGGATATGATGGAGGACAAGACAGGACAGGGCGGGATGGGATGACACAGGATGATAAGGTATGGATGGTATGGAAGGCTAGGATATGTATGCTGGAGATTCCGTGCCAGCTCGGGACGGAATGTCCTTTATCTTTTGGTGCCAGGGAGACACTGCAGGTGTATTTGCGTGCGTCTGACTCGAAGTCGAGATCGAAATCTATCCATAGACAAGAATACTGGGCGGACGGGCACAGCGAGGTGAGGCACTCGCACTCGCACTCGGAACAATCAAGCGCAGTCACAGCAGTGCAAAGTAGTGCCAATGAGTTCAAATGAGTTCAGATCAGTTGAGTGCAGCCTAGTCAAATCCACCCACCCCTTCTACTACTGTAGAATATCCTAATGATACATATGTATCCCGGGACGGAGAGTCGCGCGGACAGGAAAAGACAAGACAAGACAAGACGAGTCAGTCGCGGAATGCACGTACCTGGGTCCAGTAGGTAGTCAGTACTCAGCACGATACCCCTGTACTCGTAGATGTCTCCATATTGAGTCTCTACAAGTACCTATTAAACTAGGCTGAGGCCTCATGCCCAACGGGTATACCTCTCTGCGGCGGCAGGCACTGCCTCTCTTACACTCAACTACGCCACATCTCAAAGGAACGGCGCGATGTCTACAGCTGAGTGGTGTGTATTGTCTGTGTCCTCTCTATGGAGTATGAATTATCGAAAGCACAAGGCAAAAACAAAAAGGAAAGAAGCGCAGCCCTGCGCTAAAGCTCCACCAATCAGAACGCGAGATTGCTTCTCTGTACACATGTACAAGGGAAATGGCAGCCTTGCGCGAAACCACAACTTCATCAGCCCCTTTATGCTGATACACCAGACGTACGGAGTACATCTCAATCTCACGTATACCGTACCTAGCTAGGTACCTAGGTACCCTTACTGTGCCTCACGCGAACAAGTCCAATTCGATATGTACTGTACGGTACTGTACTGTATTTCCTGCTAGATCGAATACCGACCTACCTACTGTGCTGCGGTGATCCAACACGCACACACACGTATGCACACACACAGGCATGCACACAAACGCACGCCACACGCAGTCAATCCCCAAAACCGTCGGCAGTTTCACTCTTACTGTACTGTATCTCGCCCTGTCCTGCCCTTGGGTATAAATCCTATACTTGCGGTAACAAGAAAACAGGCCCCTTCTTCATCAGTAATCACACCATTATCGTCAATCGCCTCCAGCCTCACCTCTGGGAGACTGTGCACCCCCGTCCCTCACCATGCTCCATCGACCCCAAGCGGGAAACCTCGAGATCGGCCCTACAAGCTCTCCGGACTCATCATGCTTGCATCGCCGTCCCCATTGATACCGTTGGCCTTGCCATCAGCCACGCCATTAACCTCCACGGCGTCATCATCCATCATGCCGTCCACGACAAAATCCTCGACGGCAGGTTCTGGTTGACTATCTTTCTCACCCGCTTGATTCATGTCCGTGGTTGTCATCGTCCTCCCCTTGACCGTCGGCTTGGCTTTCTTATCGGGACTGCCATCTCCGCCGGGTCCGGGCGTACTGGGTGTGGCGTTGCCGGCGCCATTCATCACGGGTGTCTCGTCTGCGTTGCCTTTTTTCTTCCCCGGCGTCACATTGGTGTTCGCAGGGACAGTAGGCTTCGCGGCGTTCGGACCCTTCGCCGGGCCCTTCTTCTGGGGACTCGTATTATTATTCTTAAGGGTGCCCTCTCCAATCTTGCCACTTGCCGGGACGCGTGCCCGCCCGTAGCCTGGCCTTTGCTTGAGCGGTAACTCCAGATCTTCCACGAGTGGTCGATCTCCATTCTCGCGCAGCCGGCGCTGGAACCAATCGCGCATGAGTCCGATCTGATCCTCCACATTGTCCAGGCTGATCCTCGGCCAGCGCTGCGGTTCCTTGAACATCGACTCCCCGATATCGACCGGTCCGACGGCCTGGCTATTCATCCCCAATCTATTTTGCAGGATGTGGAAAGGCACGGTCAAGCTCGCCATTCCGAATTCCTTGTCTAGTCCGAGTTCACGGAAGCCAAAGAAATCCTCGTCCAGGTCGCCCGCAAAGTCGCCGCCGACGTATTGTTCGCCACCATCGGCGAAAGAACCATGGCCGTGCGCCGTTTCGTCAGTCAGTGCCGGACGGAGAAGATCGGTCAAATGCGCTTTCATCCGGTCGTGCATGGTACTGAGTTTGGCGGAGAAACGGTCGATGTCCTCGCGCGCGTAGAGTTCCAGGTCGTTCATGGTCATTCCGCCCGAGTGTAACGCATGAAGGATCGCTTCTTCGCTGGTATATGGGGATTTGTAGGTCGTTTCCGTCTTTTGACCTTGTGCCCCAGTCACCGTCGTCGTGACGGGGATCTTGTAATCTTCCTTGTAATTTGCCAACGCCGTGCATAGCCGCTGGAAGAAGTCTGCTGCGATATCCGTCATAGCATCAAGCGCTGAAGGCTGGAACTCTTCAAACCCGGCGTGGAAGAAAATCTTGCCAATGGACCTTTGGAACGCGGCCTTGCACACCCACGGCGCCATCAGAGGCCCGTCATCACTCACCACATAATTCGGGATGTCCGCCTCGACGAACGGTTCGGCCTGGTACTTCTGAAACTGGTTCTGATAGGTTTGAGACTGCAGCTGCATTTGCTTGACGACGGCGATCTTGGAGACAACCTTGCGGGTATCCTGTAATTGACGCATGTTGGCGTCTATCTTCTTGGAAAGCTTGCCTTCGGGTGCCATGAAATAGCCTGGTGGGACGAGACGCATGAATTCCTCCCCGTGAGCAATGACCTGGCCTTCGGCATCTTGTTCCCACCGCATTCGAGGGTCGATGTCTGGGATCGCGGAGAGACAATCGTAGTAGTCCGGAAGCATGCTTTCTTCCTCGACTTCCATTCCTTCAGCCAGCGTTTGCCCCTGGATCTCAGCCCTTTTTTGTCGCTCTGATGCATCCACGCCGAGCTCGGCAATGTCTTTCGAAGTAGCTTCCTGGCGCATTCGCTGCCACCTGCGCATCCCTGCTTTGCTCCGCAGCAATGCAGTTTCTTCAACATTCAATTTGTCCCCGCGAAATAGCTTGTGCCGCGCAGCGGCGAGTAACGCCCGATCTTTCTTGGTCTTTTGTTTCCAAAGTTTGTAATCTTCGTCTTCGTACTCGGGCATTGGTGCTTGTGAAGGTAAGGCAGGGATATCCAAGTCCATGCCTTCACTTCCGGCGCCAATCACACTTCCGGGCCCATGAGCTCCCGCTGGCGTCAATATTCCTGGTGGGGGCGTTGAGTGACCTTGACTCCCGTCAACTTCGGACTCGGCTCGGATACCGTTCTGTACCGAGCTCAGTGATTGCAAGACCGGTTTCGTTTCCGGGATAGGAGTAGTTTCTGGAGGTGCTTTTCGTGACGTCGAGCCACCCTTTTTGGCGCTTTTCTTGGGAGCTTTACGACCTCTCGACGACATGATGGGTTCGTCATCGCTCTCCTCCGCCTCGGCCTCCAGCTCGCCATTGGCGATCTGCTGCCTCCTCTCTTCGGCCTCGACTTCAGCGCGATCTCGAATGACGATGTCCGGAATCAGGGGTACCAGCTTGTCCGTCTCCTTCTGCATGAACAGCGCGTGCTTGCGAAACAGATGATCGGGATTACTGTTGAACTTGAGACAGTTCTTCCATATTTGAGTCAAGTCGTCGACGAATTCCTTCTTCGACTTGTAGGCGAACTGCTTGAGCTTCTTGGTCATAGTGCCGAGGTCCATAGGGTACTTGATGATGAGGTAATAATCAGGGGCGTCCTTCTTCTTGACCGGGTTGAGGAACGGAGTCGAGTGTTCGGTGTGTGCTTTTAATTCAGTCAGGACTTTCTCCGCCGCTTCGTACAATTCTTCCTGGCCGACTTTGTCCTCACTTGCCCATTTACTTCGATTCTTGCGAACTTCGCTCATGAGCGCGCGTAGTTCCGACTCGGTCGCGTGCACCAGGTTCCGGTGTTCGTCCAAGCGCGCAATGAGGTTCTTCAGGGTCAGACTGGATGCGCCGAGGTTGGCTTTGCTGAGACTTCCTTGCTGCATGGCGGCGTTCTGTCGGTTTGCATGGCCTTCGGCTTCTGCTTCGGCGCGCCGCTCCGCCTCATCAAGACGTTGTTGATCTAACATGGCGTCCCGGTCGTTTTCCAGGGTGAAGAACATGGTACGCGACATTGTTTTGATGGTCTCGATTTCCTTGCGCTTGGACTCTTCTAGCTTCTTCCGGGCATCCTCTGCATCTTCTTTCTGTTTGAATGAACCGGTCTTTGAGAGAGGCTTTGCAGGATCGGAGGGGATGGACACCGGCGGAGCGGGCCTCGGGATCGGCGACGAGGTAGCATCGGCGACAATGTGCACTTTGTTCGGCTTGTCCTTGAGGGGGGATGCCTTTGCAGCATCGGCAGTCTCGTCCTCGTCGTCCTCGTCCTCGTCATAATCGTCGTAGTCGTCATCGTCCAACTTGCGCTTCTTCGATATAGGAGCAGGGATGGGCGCCGAGGAGGATGCGGATTCCGTCTGTGATGCAACGGCAAGGACGCGCTTTTGAGGGACGACGACCTGTCCGACGTCATTGAAGAGTGTGGCAAGTTTCTCCTCCGTCTCCTGAAAGAGTGCGCGAAAGCGGACAATCTGGGGATCTTCATCGAGACCGGCCTCCGGCTCCACAGGTTGGCCGGACTGGGAACCGCCGCTGCCCAGACTGCGCAACTTGAAGGAACTCGGAGTATGGGGTCGGGAGGGTGCTCGAAGCAGGCCATTCATAAGGGAGTCCCGATGTAAGGAATGCAGGAGTGGTTCGTCGTCGGGGGGTTTCTGCGAGTTTGGGGGCGGCCATGATACCGACATGGCCGGGATTGCCCCCGCGTAATGGTGACTGAGGGTGCGGATGCCAGCGTGACCTGCAGAACTTCGAGCGCGTGCGCAGGGTCAGCGAGATGGCGGCGGAACATCAAAATCGGGGGGTGGACGGCTGGGACGTGTCGGTGATGGCACGCGGCGGATTGCAGCGCCCAACTGTTGAATTAGTCGTGGTGGTTGATGCGCAAGTGGACGGGTTCTGATGCTGATGGCCGGCGTGAAAGGACGTTGGAGGTTGAAAGAAGGTATGAGCGAGCAGTCAGTGAGTGGTGAGTGACAGTCCTCAGTCAGTCGTCCGGCTCCAGGTCCAAGTCCAGGGCCTCGCGGCGCTTCTCCAACTGGCAACTTAAAACCTCCCGGTGGCCTGCGGCGTCCGACTTCCGCATAATATCGGCTACTAATTAGTACGGTGTACATGCTGTTGCTCAGTACCCGTAGGCAGCTCAACGCTCTGCTCTACACGGACAATCCAATACGATGCGAATCCGCTTTCCCTTCGCAAGCACGTTCCTCTCCTCCCGTCGTCGATTGCGCCCATGCTAACATATTCTAGTTGGCTTCCTGATCCTCCTCCTCTTCTCCTCCAGTCTAGGCCTCCTTCCGTCCTCCGCGCTGCCCTCGACTCCGGCTGCCGCCCAGCCGTACATCCCCTCTCAGTCCGACAAAGCGTTGCACTTCATCTGTTTCTTCCTTCTCACCGCCGTCTTTTACTTTATATTCGACACCGCGCGCCGGCGGGTCATCCACTTGACGCTCATCATATGCACTCTCTTGTTGGGCGTAGGCAGCGAAGTCGCCCAGGGACTATTGCCAAACGATCGCGAATTCGATTCGTGGGATGTCCTTGCTAACGTCCTCGGGAGTTTGGCCGCGCTGGGCTTAGCGAGCGCATATCATCGACGGTCAGCAGAGCGCAGGCGCCGGGCGAAGTACTCCGCTTTGACCGGCGACGGGCTGGAGGGTGAAGATCTCGAGCTCGGCGAGGGCGCCAATGGTACAATGAGAGCTGGCGACGGCGGGCAGGAGACGGTTGTTGTACCTGCGAGAACCATCGAGGAGGAATTGGACAACTGGGACGAGAATGCTCCCGATGACGCCTGGGATGACGATGACGATACGACGGCGACACAGAACACGAAGGTGACGCCCTCGACTAGCTCCGTCGGCAGCGAGGAACCGCCGCACAAGGTTGCTGTTGATTGATGTTCAAATGCTCGTGGGCAAGGACCAGCCAGATTTTATGTTCGTGGCATCACGGCGGCTTGACATGTGGCCCAAGACCATGTACCACAATTACGCGAACGCTGTAACGACCATGGGAGATACGTCAGAGAATTCCGCCGAGATTGACATGAGCATAGAGCATCAGATTCCCTGTCCGTTGTTGCTATGTATGACTGCTAGGATGGTGGTATTACTGATCTGTCGGGTTTGGGCCCCTCCGCAAGGCTCCTTTTGTTGCTCAGTGTTGATGCGCCGTCTTCTGCTCCATGCCAATGTTCGCCTTGTCGCCGGATTCAACCGGACATCCAGACGCCTGACGAGTAAATACACCCCGTCGCCACGGCCTTGCCTTCGGTCTCGCCTCTCCCACTGCGAATCGACTTGCCCACATTTCAACCAAGTGCTCCACGGCAATTTGTGATGCTCTTGCTCGTCATCCTCGTAACATCGTACAGCGCTCGCTTCTTCGATGACATCCCCAACTGCTCAGCGAAAACAACTGAACCTTCCAAGGCTGAATCTGAAAGGATTCCGTCTGACGCCATGACGATCAACTGTCACTCCGCCCCCCGCGCGACGACCGCCCCAGTTTCTTTTTGCCAGTCAGCATCCATGGACCGAAATCCGAACGAGGCCGCCGTGGCAAGAAGGTGGAACGTCCGGCTCACCTCCCTACGCAGGGAACATGTACTTACTTTGTGTAGAGAAACGGCATTTTTCTTCGCAATGCCTTTCAAGAGGTCTGGAGGGGTCTAGGAATGAGCTTTCTCAGTTTGCGACGTTCTTTTCTGTCTCTCGATCGCAGTGGAGTTCGCTGGTGGGGATTTTCGACTTTGACTGTGTTGGCGCTCGTGCGTTTGTCGACTCTGGGTGGCGTCTATGCCCTCCGATCCAGAGAATGGAGGTTGCGGATCGGGCAGAGTGACGACAGCAGTAGGTGTAGGAGAGGAAGAATGCAGGTAGTGTGATATGGTTCGGTGAAGGTGGATGTCACTTGCAGGTGAGGAACTCCGGAAATGTTGAACTAAGAGTGGAAAGCAGTTACATCTGATTCGAATTCCTTCCTGGGAAGCGCAATGCTATATACAGGCCTACTCTATTGTCTCCCGTGTGACGACAAGAGCGGGCAACAACATAGCCATCAGGGACCGACCTAGGACACCGGCTTGTCAGACTCTCCAATGGTCTTGGATGACGCTTCAGGAACACACTTGAATGGCTAGCACCCTTTTGCCAAGCTCTGAACGGTTGCTTGCATCGACAGAATCAGGGTTTTGGGTCCGGACGAGCGATCAAGATGAGGTGCAAGAGGGTGAACAGGAATTCGCGAGTCAACAATGAATGGCGCAAAGTGACGTAGCGATTCGGTGTTAGCGCGTGGCTGCAACGGCCACCAGCCTTGGCTGAGCGCAGATCGACGAGATGTGGCGTCGAATGTGGCGCAGTTGACTTGCCCGAGATGGCTGCATGGTGGCTGCACGAGACTGGTCGCAAACCTCGTCTGACAACAGGCGCTCTCTTAGTTCTACTCGATCGCACAGCTCGTCAAGCATTTCATTCATGTAGCACGCCTGGCAAGCAGCACATTCCGCGAGAAACATTATCCATCATCGGTCTGCTCGACTCAAACTTCGCAGCACGCTGGCTATATCGTTTGGTGGCGTGTCTGGTTGCGTCTGGTCTGCCCTTGCCAGTGCTCTCTTTCTCCCTTGCTTCTCTCGTTCTGCAAGTTTCTCGGCGCAGAGGGCCAATGTCCTGCCTGCTACATTTTCGGCTGCGGTCTGATATTGGCCTAGCCGGTGGACACCGTCTGCAAATCGGTCGATTGTCGGCCCTATAGATTCCAATATTTCATTGACTCGCTGGGAGATTTGGTCTGCTGAAGTCGGATTGCTGGGAGGATTTATCGAGTCAAGAGCAGCTGCTTCGGTTTCGGAGAGCAGTGATCGCTCCATTTCCCAAGGCTCTGTCGTTGTATTGCCTTGACATAATGTCGGAAGGCTGGGGGGTTGCAAGAACGATTCTAACGCTTCCTTTTCGATCCGAAGCCTGAAAAACGTCAGTCACAATCGTTAAGGAATGTCTTCATCACCGTACCGTTTTATCTGTTCTTCCAGCTCCGCAAGCTTCTCGAGATTCTGCACATTCTTGGGGTTTGGCCGTTCGGGAAGTGGTGTTTTCCGTACCGGGACGTCCTCTCGAGCGAACCAGTCTGAAAGTTCCGACTTGCTCGACAGCTCTTTCAGCAGTTCCTCCTCGATTACTCGAGCTGGGCAAAATTTCAGCATGGCCATCAAATGTGTAGTTTGCCGGAGGCTACCAACCTGCTTGTCGGGCACTTGAGTCCTCAAATTCTGTACCTATAGGCTTCTCGTCCAATGCGCGTTCCGCACACCAGGTAAGTAGTTGCCGCATCCGCCTGGGTTCCGGGAGGCCTTCACTTTCAATATGTTTGTAGTAGTCCACAACGTCAACCTCCGAGTGAGGTAATGCTACACGTTGCGTCAGCCTGCACCACCCAAGTTGCTGTAGCTTGCCTCGCTTACCATTGGAAGTCCCGGACTCGATGAGCGAGCTTGCCCGTCGTCCCCGGTTGCCCAGACTACTTCTTCTTTCACCCTTGGCCGACTTACCCTCGCGCATGGCTTTGTTGCGCCTGATCACAGGGGTGTCCGCCAACGGTAAGGCAATTCTCGTCGCGGAGCTATTCTCTTGTACCGTAGGGACGGTCTCTGCCTGATGACCATCTCGGGCACCTTCGGGACATTGGCCATTTGGATCCCCATCCCTTTGCTCCTTTTGCCGTTTCCTAGGCGCCTGATCTGCGACTATTCCCGACTTTTGTTCTGGTTGCTTCTTTGGGGGTTCTCTGCGGATTCCCCTATTAGGGGATTCCTTCAGCCGGGTCTCAGCCTGTTGGTCAGGACGCTTGGAAGATACCTCCTCGCGAACGGGTCTCTTCGCAGGACTCGCATCTGCGTGGTCATTGTCCTTAGACAGACGCTTCGACCGACGAGGAGGCGGATCTTCTTTCGGCTTCGGTGTGGAAAATGACATTCTCTTCCGCCTCGCTTTCGGCTTGGGTGCCGTGTCGTCATTGTTGGGCACGTCTGACTTGTCCGCGGGCGGTTGTTGCGACTTCGACGCGTCATCTTCAGCAGGAGCAGTGGCTTTCCCTTCCTCTGCCGGCTTGGCTTCTGGTTCCTTCTTCTTGACGCGTTTGAATATGAAGCCATCATCCTCCTCGTCGTAATCTGGGGTCCACATGTGAGCAATAATGTCCAGTTTCCACGTGCTAGCCTGTTGCGCAAACCTACTCATTTTCCTTTTCCTTGCATTTGCTTTCACGTTCTGCGCGGCAGCGGGATACGAAGAAGCGGCGACAGGCTTCGCATTTCCATTGATTTGTTGTGCCTGACTGGGACGCAGCGGCGCGTCTTCCTTCTCTTGGATTCTTGTGCTTAATCTTCGCGTCGGCCTCTGTATAGTTGACATTGGCAAGGGCTGCAAGGGCGGGCGCGCCACGAGCATGATCATGTGCGGTTTGCTGGTGGGTGAGCAGGGTGATGTTTCGCGTTTGTAGAAGGAGTCGGTCGCATGCGCGGGCGCAAAGTTGGCCGGTGGCTAAATACGATCAATTCTCATGATAAAAATACGTCCTCCTCCGAGTGATCGAGTCAGAGTGCAGCCGACGGTCAATTTGACGCAGAAATGCCCGCTCAACGGTGACTGATGTTGCAATGAAGCGCTGAAATGGCTTGCATTGCGGGCAACTGGCGGTTGTTTACTTCTAAAGTGGAGCCCCGGGCCAGTCCGCCAATCATATCACTCGCTCAGGCCAGCGAAGCATCAGCCCGTCCAAGACTTGACCTTCACTCATCTTTCGCTCACGTCCCTCATCTCTACTTGGTCTCTGCTTACGGTCACATCACGTCCTTAGTTCCGCAATCAACAACGTAGTCCGAGACTCAGTCCAATCCGTTGACAGTAAAGCAGCTGGCCGAAGAACAACTAAATCTTCTCAACCGGGCCAATGCTGGACGGATCGGACTCAATTCCTGACCTGTATCAACTATAGTCGACGAGACCAGTTCGCGGTTGCTGTCTCCATAGATCAGGAGAGACCAGAACTTGCTGTGCAGTATCAAAACATGAGCGTGAAAGCACGCTTGGGTATTCCCGGAGCGGTACGTGGTCGCTACCCAGCGCCGCCGCCCATGAGCAACATCTTTCGAACCCCGAAAATATTCTGTGGCATATGAGACATCCGTGATAACTTGGCCGAAAGGCGCTTTTGTCTTCGCCACTACCAACGCGAACTGCAGTGGGAGCTCAATTCGTACCTTTGCACCAATGTCGCCGCAACTCATTATCGCAAGCCTTCTTGCGGCCATGTAAGGAAGCTACTTTTGTCCCCCATAGCCATCACCAACTTCACTTGATTCTTTTGTGCTTGTCCGATACCGGCCGCAGTTTACAAGGTCGCGACAGTCGAAGCTGCCGTTCCTGTTCGGCCGCGCGCAGCCATTCCCAGGGTAGGCGTACGTCGAAGCACATCCCGACGGCACGATAGAAAGCAAGGTCGAACAGCCCTTTTGGCCATACTACGATGCTCTAGCAGCCGACACCCGAGAGCGCGGGAGAGACACAGCGGAAGGGACTGTACTCGGGTACGTTGTGCAAGCACAATACTTTGTGTACTGTGGTCGGTCCGCTCAGCCTCGGCCCTCATGGCCTAGTCCATGCTTACTATACTGTCTACTCATACTGTGCGGGTATCCTGCACGCCGGTATTCGCGCTCGTATCGTATGCTTATATAAACAGTCGGATAGACAGATAGACGGATAGACAGATGGCCAGGAAATTCCGCCTGCCGGGCTCAATTCTCCCAATCCCCCGATTCCCGGAACTCCTGTCCCATGCATGTGTGCATTAGAAATGCTATATCTGCTTCAATCTTCACACACCCTACAGTCTCGGGATCTGTACGCCATACCCCATCACCCTGATCACTCGTACACGGTAGTCCACTCCTTCAGCAACTGCTCGATCTCATCGGGTTGTTCGTCCGTGGCCATGTCTGTGGCTTTGCCCTTGCCCTTGTCTTTACCCTTCGAGGGGCTGACTACTGCCGGCACTTCCGAGGGTTGACCCTCTTCGGCCTTCTCACGCTCTTGCTCTTGCTCTTGCTTTTGCGGGTCATGATCGCGCGAAACTCGCTCCGTCGGTTTCTCTTCCTCGGCCCCAATCTGGGTCTGCTGGGTGGGTTTCTCCCCTGCCTCGGGCGCCTTTTCGTCCAGATTCATCGTCCCATCAGGCGTAGTCCGCCCGCTTATATCGCCGGCCTCGTTCTCCGCAGGCACAAGAAAGGGGATCTTATTCTTGATCTTGGCGGCCCCCTCGGCCGATTCGACCTTGGGAGCGTGCGTCCCTGCGTCAGGCTCGGCCGGCTTCTCAGCAGCAGCAGTAGCAGCGACAGCATTGGCGTCTTCTTCCTTGGAGACAATCGTGGAAGGGGGCGTGTATTGGCCTTCCGACGAGGGCGACCTGAGCAGTTCGTCAAACGTCGTCGATCGGCCCAGTTTGGCGCCGGGTGAATTGGGCGGCGACGCCAACCGCGAGTCCTTGCGGTATTCGAGCACGGTGTCTGGATTTTCCTTGTTGTCTTCGACGCCGAAGAATAGACCTGTGTTCTTCACGGTTCTAGTGATGTCGCAGAAGGGTCAGTCAGCGTTCATTCACATCGGTCTCCCCCGTCGGCATTCAATTCCAATTTTTCAAAACTTACTCCTGAAACGAACTGATCGCCGAATTGGGTGAGGTGATCGAATCAAAAATCGACTCGTACCACGTCTTCGTCCGCGCAGCACCCTTGCGGAACTGGACTGCCCCGGAAGTTAACGGATCCGCGTTACCCACCAACGAGTCCTGCCGTTCTCCCCTTTGCGAAACTCGACTGGTGTTCTCGTGCATCAGGCCCATGGTCTCATCGATATCCGCCTGGAGGGCATCGGTCCTCCTGCTGGGACCCGGCTGCGAGTTCTGGTAGGGTTGGTAGGGGTCGTGATACTGCCCTTGGAAGCGCACGCGCGATCGCGACCGCGAACGCGAACGGGACCGTTCGTCGTAGTCAGCAACCGTCAGACCCTCCAGGGCTCCGGCCGCAATTGAACCGTACATTTCCCCCTCGGATGGGATCCACGACTCATTGTACGAAGGCGGAACTTCTTCCTTGCGCCCGATCGAGACCAACACCCATGGCTTTGACCCTGCCCTGGCGTCGCGAGATCTAGAGAGCTCCTTCTCCAGTTCAATCTGGACCCCCATCCGTGAGCTACCGTACGACATTGGCGCGGACCGCTCGAACTGGAGTAACGCCCGTTGGATGTGTTTGAGCGAGTGTCTGACTGACGGAGCCAGCTCCGGCTCCGAGCCCGGATCCTGATACAGCGACTGGCCCGTCGCAGCGAGGGCATTCTCTCCTTGTGACTCGATCATGCTGAGGAGCGCCTCGTACTTCCTCGTGGCCTGCTGGTTCGCGAGGAAGAGATTCTCCAACAACGTCCGCTGGTACAGATCGTTCCCTCTGCCTGTGGGAGATGACTCCTTCCTACGCCAAAGGTTAGTCCGCCATTGCGTGCCGTAAAACTACCAAACCACCCAAATGAACTTACTCGACTCGCGAATCTCGGGCATAAATCAACACATTCAACACCAGCATCAGCGTGCTCTTTAGCCTCTCCAGGTTGCTCCTGAGAAGAGCCATCTTCGGCTGCAGGAACGGCCACTTCAACCTGTCCATCGCCGACAAGGCCACTTTGCCGCCCTTCCTGGGCCATCGTTTGGCGACACTGTCGGTGGCTTTCGCCAACACGCCCTCGATCTCCTGGAAGACGACCTCGCACTCGGTCATGACGTCCTTGACCGTCTCGACCGCCGAGCCAGAATACAGCTTTGCGTCCTCGTCTTGCTCAAGATGGGCGCCGAGCTGTTCGAGCACAGACGAAGTGAGCGAGACATCTCGGGCGACGTTTTTGATCTCCGAGGATGCCGTGGCAACAGTTTCAGCGAAGGTGTAAAGCGTGATTGAGAGCTTGACACCGGCGCCGGCAATGCCGATGATGGTGGCGACGAGGCCAGCTTCCGCCATTGTTGTCCCCGGCACGTGAGCCCCGGTGTCGAGGTTCGGGGTGAGGTTCGGGTGTAAGGCTGCTGAGAAAGGATTGGGGGGCCTGAAGTCGATCTCGCCGCAGGCACGTGTTACACCAACTCAGAGCAACGGCAGACGCTGGGCGACAAGATTCATGGGAAGCTTAGAACGGCAACGGTCGGTATCAGGGAATCTAATACTGGGTAGACGGTGCACCAGATTCAGGAGATTAGAAAAAGAAAAGGTGAAGGGCATCTCAGCCGCCAGTCAGCAACGGTTCAGCTAACGGGTGAAACGGGCCTTGATTGGGTTAGATCCATTTCGGCGGCCGCAACGTTCGACCAATCAGCAGGCTCTGGTCACGAGTGCGCCTCACGCGTCGCCCCCATGTTTCCATTCGGCCCCCAGGCTGTGCGACTCGGCTCTTAGGGGACCGCCATATGTATCGGCTGTCTGAGAATCCCTCGCTCACATACAAAGTAGTTAGTGGCTGGCTTGCCTTGGTTAGAACCGTCATATCCCACCATGACCTGTACATTGGTGATGGCGATCGGCGGATCGTGACCAGCGTCCGTGACATTCAACATCGCTATGGTGCGCTCGTGCCCGGGAGGAAAGTCGGCGTCTCCCACGAAGATGAACTTGCCGCCAGCTAGGTTCTGATTCACAGCGTTAGGGACGGTAAGACGCACCTCGTCAGGGCAGACCCAGATGATGTTCATGAACTTGTAAGGGCGTCTGGCCTTTCTTGCAGCCTTCAGAAATATAGGCGTCGATCTGGTTACACTTGTCGCTGGTCTTGGAGGAATCCACCAGGCGGACTGTGAGCCAAATCCCGCGGCCGGTGGTCCTTCCACAGACAAACGAGCCCTCAAGAGGTGGTATGATGTCGAATGTGAGATAGGGAGGCCAGTCGCGCGAAGTGAGTGCGTTCCCATGTGGGAGTGTTTCTCTGGCGGCTCTGTTCCTGCTGGGGCGCGAAAGCATGGTGCTGGCATTTGCGATGGCCAGCATTCGCGAAATGTATGAGCTAAGGAAGGTCGATTTCTTCGACCTGTTGGCTCATGTTCAACTTCTGAGTCCCGGAATGGTATCATCCGGTGTGGGACGCGAAACTGGGTCGAGAAAGAAGTCCCTCGCAACATTACGAAGATCGTCGACTTTTATACTCGTGGCCGACGGGGTATCGTTTGCATGGTCACGAGCACCGCCGAGTCAGTGAAAGTCCGTGGTGTTGCTGAATGAGTAGTATCGCCGTCGTCGAAGACTTCTTACCATCAGGTGAGCGACGTCAGCATGTGGTCGAGTGGTCACTCCCCGGTGGGCTCACGGGTTCAAGCAGAGCAGACACAGCAACGGCGTCTCCATTTTCGCGATGCAACGTCCCTCTCTTAGTAGCCTATGGGCTATGTAGTGGACCATTCACTAGTCACGCTGAGTACCAAGAACTGCGTGCTGAAATACTACGCCCTACAATCCACCAAGATCTTGACGTGCTTGTCCTTTTCATCGATCAAGGCTCGATATCCATCCTCGACGACTCGATCGATCTTGATCTTGCTGGTGATCATCTCTGCGGGCTGTAGTGAGCCCTCGTCAAGGGCTTTGATGACGCCCGCAAAATCGGCCTGTAGGTACCCGAGAACTACGCCGGGCATGCCACGTCAGAGAGCGTGTAAGAACGGAGAGGCCCGGTTGATGTAGGTTCCGGAAGTGAGGATCGACTTACTGGCCAGATACTTCTTCTCTCCGAACACAAGATTGTTAGGTTGGAAGGGCACCTGTTCACTTCGAGTCAGCTCTGGTGGGAATGGTGCTCGTGCTGGTGCTGCCGGTGTCGTTTTCCACCCCCCTCAATTTCGCTCTTCCACCATTGCTGTGAGATACACGTCTGGGACGTACGAGAAGGGATCAAGGTCGGCGAACGCACCTCCTTTTCCCAAATGGCCAGGTTGACGACCGTGCCCCTTGCCCTCACGGCCAGACAGGCGTCCCTCAAACTGGCCGGCACGCCCGCTGCATCAAGCGCAACATGGGGCCCGAGCCCTCCCGTGATCTCCTTGGCTCTCTTGACAGTATCCTCGTTCCTCGGATCAACAAGGTGCGTCGCCCCAAACTGCTTCGCGTACTCTTGTCTCTGGTGGGCAATTTCGACGACAATGATGGTACCCGCGCCGCGGGCTTTGAGACACTGAATCACTCCCAGGCCAATCGGACCGGCGCCCATGACGAGGGCGGAGTCGCCGGCCTTGATGGGATACTGCTCCCTGGTCAGTGACGAGAAAAAGACAACGTCCGACGGTTGCTGCCAGATCTACAAGACAGCGCTCTTGCTTGAAGCATACCTGATCGACCGCATGCCACGCCACAGCAAGCGGCTCTACCAACGCGCCCACATCCAGTCCAATGTGCTCGGGCAGTTTGAACACAAACCGCGCATCCACCGACACAGCATCACTCATGCCTCCACCTCCGCCACTCAGACCGACAAACCCGGCCGCATCGCAACAGTTGAGGTATCCCTCGCCGCAGGGGCCGCATTGGTCGAAACAGGCGATGGTGGGTTGCACCGCAACTTTGTCCCCGACCTTGAGACCCTGCGGGTTGTCGGCACTGGAGCCGATCTCGAGGATCTCACCACTGAATTCGTGGCCGATCGTGATGGGCATGACTTCGCCCGTGATCGGATGGGGTGCGGACGGCTGTGGGATGAACGTCGGGGAGGAGTATTCGTGTACTACGCGTGATCCGCTGAGTGAGTAGAGTATGTACCATGGAGTAAGACGGTCAAACGACCGGCCGCTTCAATAAATCCTGGAATCTGACCCTGTATGCCAAGATGATGTCTACCGCATGTTTTGCAGATGCCGGGAAGAAGCTTCCAGTCGGATACCGATACCGACACAGGCTGTATAAGGTCCGTCCCTGATGTACACTGGAGAACACGGTCACATCTTCCGAAGCATTTGCCCCCGTCGACCTCATCACCTCCCCTCAAAAGCAATGGACGATAACGCTTTCGGATCAAGTTTGCGGAAGCACTTACAATCTGTCCCACAGATGCCACAAAAGGCAGCTATTGTCATGGCATCCCGCGTCAGTACACAGTACAGCCACTAGCGACTCTCACGACGAGTCACTCCTCTCCCCTCGGAGGCACACAAACAGCAACTCGATTCGTGCAGACTCACGCTTGACCTTGATCTGGTTGTCTCCACACTTCGGTTCCGGGATGTCATGGTCGACCCGAAGGTCCTTGACCCCGTGATATCGGAGGGCGCGCATCTTTGCTGCTCTTCGTCGGCGGCTGTCAGATCAGTTACAGCAGATGCGTGGACAGGTGAAGCAGGCAATTCGGAGCTTGGTTACGGATGTGACGTAGGGCAGCCGTGTAGCGGGGATCAACGAGTTCTACGGTGATCTTCAGCAGGAAGATGTAAACACGGCATCAGAAAAGGAGCGGGAAAGAGGGTGTCTTCTACGCACGCTCTGTCGAATCTTCATGCGGTCGGGCGGAGATGTCATGAGAGCCCCTGGCACGCGTATACGTCCCGACAGACATACAGCCAACAAGAATCCAAGAGTACATGGGTCAGGGCTCCATTGTTCGTGGAAAATGTGAGGGGAAACTGGAGACGGAACGATTTCATGTGCGGCCTTTTCAATGCCTCCGAGGTACGAGTACGCGGACAGCCACACCTGAGCCACATATTTATCCGTGGCTGAAACCAGCCCAAGTACGAGGACGGAGAGGATCTTCCCCCGACTTTCTGTGGGTAACTGAAAAGTGGAACAAGCGATGAAGGTGAGGATCACTATGCAGATCCGGGGAAGTGTCTCCATGTCTCGGTTTCAAAACATCATTCCATATTAGTGAAAGCAGTTCACTGCCTTCCATCGCGGTGCAATAGTACTATCTCTGGCTAGTCAAGAGTCATGTCCGTACCAACACGCTCGCTAAAGGATTGAAAGTGCTCATGTCGTGACAGGAGCACAACGCGCAGACCCATAAATCATCATCGCTCAGTTCAATGTCGTCATCTCCTCCATTAACCCCATCGACATTATGCAGAACCCAAGTCATGTCTCCATGTGGCATGGTCCGAGTGCCGCCAATACTGCCTGACAAACTCTTCGTGATTCGCCCCTGATGCTTTTGTCTTTTCCCGCAGCCGAGAGAAAATGGTTTCCAATAGTAAGGCATAGAGACGAAGTGAAGTTGCCGATGCCCATACCTCGAATTAGGAGACGGCATTCTTAGACCAAGAGCTTGAAGGCAGCCATCAGAACAGCAGCGAAGGCGCCAGTGGCAGCTTGCTGAGAGATGGGGACGGCAGCGTTAGAGGGCGTGGCACCGGCACCGGTTTCAGACGCGGAGGCGGAGGCGGAGCCCGAAGCCGAGCCCCCAGTGGAGGCAGCGGTTGAAGAAGCAGCAGAGGTCGAGGTAGAAGAGGCCGAAGACGCTTCTGCAGCAGAGGTCTGGGCGATGGCCTCGGCAGTGGCGTTGCGGGTACCACATTGCATGTTCTCAGTGCATGTTTGCTGTCCTTGAGCATCATCAGGGTGGGCGTCGATGCACTGTGAATATGTTTCTTGACAGATGAAGAACGGAAGGGTCTGGGTGAAGGCGGTGCAGTCGGGAACAGTGCCATTGGCGCATATGCAGGTGTAGGTGAAGGCGTTCTGGCGAGTCAGCGGTCAAGTAACATCGATGTGAGAGAGATTGTAGCTAACCTGGTCGCATTGGTTCTGGGAAGCAGCTCCACCACAGATTTGAGGGCAGGTGTTCAGCTGAGCGTGGCACCAGTTGACTGTTGTGATCAGCATTTTCCCTGGATCAAGTCCGTTGATTCTCAGCTCTTACAGGCAGTGGTAGGGTCAATGCCGGCGGGGTTGAACGCTTGGGTGGCGGCGGGAGGCATGACCTGCGACACGGTCGTCGAGGCCGCGACCGAGGCGGCACTGGAGGTGACGATGGTCTGAGCATGGACGAGGGCAGCAAGAGAAGCTGCGAGGAGGATTTGGTACTGCATGATGGCGATGGAATGGAGAAGTCTGTTGTCAATGCAGAGTGTCAATCGATGCTCAGATACTGTTGATCGGTGTAGAGGATGAGAGAGGGGAAAAGTGCTTGGAAGAACGAGAAGGTGGGAGCAGGAAGTGGTCTGGCAGAATTCGATAGTCGATCAGTGCAAGATGCGATGGGGAAAGAGCATCCGGGAACTTGGTGGGGAGCTCAACTTTACCTTTTGAAGAGCTCGGCGGCTGCGACTCGATGCTCTGATGAGGATGCCGTGCGGTTGCTATGGTACTACTGGGTACTGGAGCTTGAGATAGAGCTTGGAGAAAGAGCGAGGTGGTGCCGGCTTGCGTGGCTCTTTTATTTTCTGCGAGACTCGCGGCAGGCCTGCGCATTTCCACTTGCAGTGAAGGGCTGGTATCATGTCCATTGATGATGCCGCTATCCTATCACCCACTATGCCCGTTTGATGGTTAGCGCCGCTATTTAACCAGAAGTGAACGGTAACTGACTGGGGTCATGCACGCATCGACCTCTCAACTCGTCACGCTGGCTCATTTCTAAAACACATTAAGGGCCGCGCCAATCACCGGGGCAGCGCATCGCTTGACACCCTCCACTGCGGACAATCTTGCAGGCAGCCCTAAGCCCCAAAAGCCGTAGCCGGCGGACACTGGATCCTCCAAGCAGACGAGATCCGGCCGCCGAGATCCCACCATTCAGAAGGCTCAGACTACGGTCAACGTGTTATCGAAACCGAGGCTTACGCTCGGGATTGCTCCCGTTTCCATCGATTTTGGAGATTCAAAAGTGAGAGTGGGAGGATGGTGTAGCTACGAGTACAACGCGACTTTTCTGCTCGCAGCCTGTTTGCTCTTGCTGTAGTCACACCCGATGTATAACACATCAAAACACTGAACCCCTCTAGATGGCACCACAAACTGAACAGATGGACTTCCTGTCCAAATTCATTGCCACGCATCGAGTTTCCGAAGATGCCCGCCGACACTTCGCATCGGTCGAGTGGACGAACAAGCACCTTTCCAACTCCCTCTACAAGGCCGTGCCTACCTTCTCCCGCGTGCTCAAACCATCGGGCGAGGACTATTTCTTCTCGCGCACCATCAGCAGCCCGTCGACCATCCCTCATCTGGTCACGCTGCAATTGAAAGATTTCCCGTTTCAGCCCGAAAGTCCCAAAGGACAATTGAAAATGAGAACATCCCACAACGAGGTGATACAGGTGCCTGAAAATCCAGACTGTATCATGCTTCTGGCACTCGGCCACCCAGGTCTTGATGGCCACCCGTCCGTCATTCATGGTGGCATGGCCTGCGCCATCCTCGATGAGATGATGGGGTTGTGTGTGATGTTACATCACCAGCACGTCTCAGGTCCCCGAGACTCTCTTTTCACCGCCAGCCTGAATGTCACCTACCGCGCACCCGTCCCGACGCCGAGCGATGTCCTCGTGCGGTGCTGGCTCGCGGGAAGAGAAGGTCGGAAGTGGTTGTCGAGGGGACAAATTGTAGACAAAGACGGCAAGGTGCTGACTGAAGCCGAAGGACTGTGGGTGATGACGAAGAGGCAAGAAAAGTTATAACGTTAAGAATCGAAGGCTTTGCCTCCGTTCTTCCTCGGACGTCACATCGTCTCCGCGTAATCCACGTCAAATCGGAAGGCGTAGTATCACAACGAGAGCCAGAGCAGGTACTGTACTCAGGCAGGACGACATATCATCTCGACGATCAAAGAAGCGGCGTTCGACGGCCAATACGCCACCACGATGGTTGCAGCTTATGCGAGAGGGCTCCGCTCAACGACACCAGTCCAAGAGCCGCCGATATTACGGACATGACCAAGAAAAGACTAGAATAAAGTCTCAGCGAAAGATAGATCCTTGACGCGCCATCCAAAGAACCAAAGAATTCAAACAGACAGACTACGCAAGTGGTGCTGTATACAGACCAGACCCTCTAAGACCACGTTCTTCAGGAATAATTAGAAGAGATAGAAGTTCTTCTGTGACATTGTCCACTGGCGCTATCGTTGACAGATAGGGCTTACAGTACATGGTTTGGATGCTCTGCCTATGTACCTGCCCTCGCCGCGTACTTGGAACAACGGTCGACGCTCGATACCAGGTACCTTTATGCACTCGGGTCGCGGGGTTCGGCCTTGAGCAAAAGCTCTGTAGGCACCAGGTACTGTACCATATCTCATTTGATCTCTGTCTCGACAGTTCGAAGAAATCCCATCGCTACCCTACGCACAAAGCCAACCGTGCTTCAACGCCCGTACTCCAGGCTGGGAACCACCACGGGACCATATTTGACGACATTCCCGTACGCGCCTTCACCTTGCACCAAAAAGTCGGCGGCCAAACTCAACTTGCCAGAACCTCTCTTCATGCCCGTCTGGCCGAACGTGCCATTGACCACTTCAGGGTCGTACACCACGATCGCAACGTAGTTTCGCCGCGCCATCAGTTTGCGGTTGTTGGTCGGCTGGCCCGTCACGTCGTGGGTGAAGATTTCCATCATGTCCTCTTTCGTGTCCGTCGGTTGAGAAGGCGTCGACCGCTGCCCGTTGGCGGGAATGTAGAGGGGCTTGTTGTTGTTCAACAATTTCATGACGTACCCCGGTGCTGGTGTGTTTACCACGGGGCACGAAATGAGCTGATACATCGTCTTGTGGTCCGATGGGTGAGACGGGTCATGAACCAAGCCGGCACCACAAGTGTTGACGGCGCCGGAGAGAAAGGTCACCCGGATGGACCGTTGGTGAGCAATGCCCTGGAGCGTGCGGATAAAGTATGTCCGTTCCAGATCCTTTCACACAAGTCAACGACGAATGCAACGAAAAGAATCGCCATGTACGTACCTTGGAATCATGGGTCCATAGATCCTTCAACTCGTCGAGAACATCAATGTCGCCAAACGGACTCAAGATGCCTCCCATCAATCCGGACTTGCCCACAGCGCGTTTTACCGAGTCAAACCCAGATCCGACAGCGCCTTTCGCGCCCACCACCCCTGCAACAGAGCTCGTCACCTTGCCGAGCACGTTGTACGCGCCCGTTACCGCTTTCTTCCCCGTGGCCACAGTGTGCGCGATGGACTCGGCGGCGTCCAAGCGTGGATAGACGATGGGGACGGCAAGCAGGAGGAGACAATGCTGAATCGTTGGAGGCAGCAGGGCAATTTTCGGGAAGAGGCCCTGGTAGGTCGGGCCTGCCATGACCTGGTGCGAAGTCCGTTCACTTCGAGTGTCTGGGCCGACCACAGCGACCGCCGGCCCCAGGAATTTGACAAAGTGCCATCCAGTGCCCGTGATGGTGAAGAGGTCTCGATCGTCGGCCACGTCTCGGAGGAGCTCTAATGTCGTATGGTGTTGGAACAGGAGGTACATCTCAATGCCGATCCGGCCGATGTTCTTGAACATGTTGCTGAACTGCATGTACTCTGGGTAAGAACCAAATCCGTCAAATCTGCACCTGTTAGCTTCGAGCGCGCTGAGGAGGCGGTTATCACCCACATGTCATGATCATCAATCGTCAAAATATGGGGTATCTGGGCAAAAGCCTCGCGCAAATTGGGCTGATCAAAGTGACTTGTGTAATAATGGAAATATGCGTGCGTCACGTCCTCCTCATGTGCGGCAGTCCACACCGCGTTCTTACGATTCTCCTTCCCGCTCGTGGCCAACCATTGTTTCAGAGACGGGATCTCTTTCCACAGTCTATCGGCGCTAATCTGGCTTCCCAGTCCAATCTGGCAGTGGAACCCGCCACATTCTGCGTGTTTCTGCATGATATCCTTCCACATGAACCCCACGCCTCCTAGCCGGGCACGCTCGTTGGCACTGACGTTGATGGAAAAGTCATTTCCGGAGGTGCAGAAAAACCGCCAGTTGGTCTCGTGCTTTCCAGCGACCAAGAACTCGTATCTTGTACAGCCTAGATGCGAGGTGATGGCATACGTCCACTTGGCAGGTCCGGACTCTTCCATGCGGATGTCGATGTCGTATTTGTAGAATGTCCACCGCTGGTGAGTCGAGATCTTGTGAGCCTTCAACTGGCGCGGGTTGGGAGACAAATCGACACTCTGGTGCAAATGTATCGTCGGTGGCTGGGGTGCATCTGTGACCAGGAGGATAGAGCCGAACCAAATACCTCGGTCGATGTCCATGTTGGCGTATCGAAGGTAGGGACCAAAGTACACGCCGTTGGTCGCCACTACCTTGTACAGGTCCACACCAGCACTGGGAGGCGGTCCGGTAAAGGCTGCCGGTCCGGGTATGCCCATCACGCTCTGCTGATCATAGCCGGGAGTCATTGGGAGACCAGGCGAGGCCAGTGGTTTCGAAGCAAAGGACAAGCCGGGGGAAGCGAGTGGATTCTGGTAAATACTCGCTACCGGTGACAATGGAGTCTCGTTGAGGTTGAGAGGTGTTGGACCTTTGGGAAACTCCCATTGCGTGGATTGAGTTGGTAGATGGATGTAGTAATATTGCCCAGAGTTAGGGTCGAGGTGTGCAATCCAGCCCTCCGGAAGTGGTGGAGGAGATGCTGGGGGCAATTGAGAGGGTGTTGGCGGCATGACTGGTTGCGCGTGCTGTATCTGTCCGTTCACGATTGGTTGTGCCTGATGTGGGCTTTGGGTGGCCTGCCGAGGATCATTTGCGAACGCAGGATGGTCCATCTGGTTCGGAACCAGGGCTCCTGGTCTTGAATTCGTCGACGGTGGCACCGCTGCCGCTGCCGGTCCTTGGGCCGGCGCCGGCGCCGCACCGACCATGCTTCGTCTCTGCTTCTCCCCCGGGAACCCACCTCGAGCACCCGGAACCTGAGAATATGCGGGCGGAGGCTCGTCATGCGGCTGCAGCCTCGACAGCTCGTTTTCGACGGGATGTGGTACCCGCGTTGGGGACTGCAGCGGTCCAGCTCGGTGTGTCGAGGTCGTGGCCGAGGGAGGAGTCAACGGGCGCGCTTCTTCCATGCCTTGGTAGACTGTAGGAGCCGGATGGTGAGAGCTGCCTGGGTCTTCGGTCGGAGTCCAAGGCCGTCTGGGAGCTTGGCCCGCCTGTGGCTGGGCTGGCTGAGAAGGTACGCCATATTGTGCGGCTCTCTGCTGGGCAGCCAGGCTCTGAGCTTGAAGGCTGTTCAATGTTGCAGTTCCCGCGATGCCCGAGGCCGCGTAGCGGGCTTCGATGTCAGTCTGCGGTCGGGCGCCAGGAGCCACGACGGGTGTCTCTGGCGGCGGTGGAGATCCTCTCTGGGCTCGCACAGTCGACGTCGAAGCGGTAGAACTGATCCGATTGATTGAAGAAGGATCTCGGATCTTGAGTCGGCTCAAAGCATCAGCCGCAGATGAAGCACCTTCAGGTGGAGGGGGCCAATACGGCTGCTGGCCCTGACCCTGGCCTGGCAGAGGGGCAGTATGGGGAGCGTCGCTGCGTTGTACTGGACGCTGAAACAGACCGTCTTTCTCTGGAGCATCTGGACCTGGAGACTCTGGCAGAGGTTTTGGTAGCGTGCCGCGACGCTCGGCCAGAGTCTGGCCTGTGCGTCCGTCCCCTGATGTCGTCCTCTTTGCCTGTTGCCTTATGCCGCTGTCGGCACTTCCTGGCAGTTGGGGAGATGTCACTCTTCTCACATCCGGATATGGATATGGGTACGGGTTTGGGTTTGGGACCGGTGCGCCGTTGGATCGAGGGCCCGAGGCCGCGGCCTGGGCTTGAGCTTGCTGCCGCGACTGGTCGTCGGGGAAGGGCAGGGAGGGCATGGGGTACATCGGCTGTTGGGGAGCAGGACTCTGCTTTCCTGTGATCGAAGGGACGCCAGACGATGCGCTGGAAGTCCTCTTATTGATGCGCAGCGGCTCGACAATGGTTGGCGAGTCGCGGTTGTTCGATCGATTCAGGAACATCTCATCGTCGCCACGGCCCTGCTGCCCGGACGCACTCATGGCGGAAGGACCGGCCAGGCCGTCCACTTGGAAGATAGGAAGGACAGATGCAGGATATGTGAATCGGCCTGTGGCCTCGATGTCGTCGAGGATGACCAGGTGACGGACTGCGATCGGCCGAGGCCACGGAATTAGCAACGGCGGCGGGGGTTGGCTGATGCTAAATCCAACCTGAGAGTTGAGGATGAGTCGAGATGCAGCCGGAAGATGAGCAAGTGAGAGGAAGTCGAGGAGGGGAACGGCGGTGGCTCGTCACCGTCTCTTCAATCAGCGCTCACTCTGTGTTGAGCTCAATGAGCCAGCGAGCGAACGAACGTGCGCTTGACGACTTGTAAAGGCTGCCAGCGCTCAGCCTTCGCTCGCTCCCCTTTTCAAATGGAATCTGGAATCCTGCCCGTGCCGCTTACGAGTAGTTGCGAGTGGGAGTCCAAGGCGTGTAGGCGCCCCAACCAAGCGCTTGGAGACGTGTCTATCCAAGGACTGCGCTCCTCCTGCGCCCCTCGTGCCCCACGTCCTCGGGCGTCAATCGCGGCTTCGGGCCTCTGATTCGCGGACAGGGCCACATCCCTCTCGTGATGAAGGCAGACACGCAGACAAGATCTTGTGTCGATCTGCGGCATCAGCGCATCTCCGTAGACCGAGTCAAGCTCGCTTGGGAATCACATCAGAGGTCAACTCGCGTGCATGGGGCGCAATTAATTCTAGACGGTAGCTACAGTAACTTTGAACTCCCGAGATCGTTCTACTTCGTGAGAGATACGGCGTACTCGCAAATGTGTACCTCCACACATTGTGCCAGCAAACAGTGACGGGCGCCTCAGCCCCGGGCAAAGTCCACGCATCGTCTAAATCGTTCGCGTGGAGGTTGCGACCGCTGAGCTCAGTCTTAATGACCGACGTCCACTCTGACATGAACATCGGATATCCACCTCGCCATAGCGCAGGCACAGTAGGCTTAGACCGGGGGGTCGTGAGAATGGTGTTTTCATGCCCACCAGCGCGTGTTATTCGACCTCGTCTACATTCGAATGTATGCGACCAGACGCCGGACTGGGCAAGGAAGCGGCGAACAACGCCTCTCGACTCCGGACCGCGTGCGAGCTGCTCTCGGACAAGGATCGTTGCTGCTGTCTGGTGACCGCACGACGCCAGCACTCCTCCCACTCGGACTGAAAGCGCTCGAACCACCAGAATTTCCGACAGATCATGGAGACTTTTTTCCACGTCCGCGAAGCAGGGAAAGATTCCAAGACGTAGTCGAGGAGTTTGTCCGCCCTGGGAATGGGCTTAGCAGAGTAAGTACGCCAGCTGACGAGGAAGGAGATCCAGATGAGGACTTCGGAGTCTGCTACCGACGGGCTGTCGATGGCCCTGGCACCCTTGGTCAACGCGGCGAGCGACGCCGTGTCGAATATGTTTGTGCGGTTCTCTCCACTGACATGGCGCACGGCAATAGCGAGACCTAGACAAATGACATGCTCCAATCCTGGCGGGAGCCCTGACCGCCTGAGGTCAAGGAGGAGCATAATGGCGTTACGCGAGCACTCTCTGGGCTCGGCGAAAAGGCGGCAGTATCGATCCCGTGAGTTTGCTGCTTGCTCGGCCGAAGTAGTGGCACCATCTACCAAGGGCACCCAGGAGGCAACTTCAGCCAGCAGCTTTATGCACTGCACGCTCAGATGACCGGTCAACGCCACCTCCGCCAGACCGACGGGAAGCTTAGCGACGTCGCGGCAGATGTCAGGCGGAAAAGGATGTTGGACGAATTCGATTTGCCTCGCGGGGATCGAGGTTGGGTCATCTGGACTGATCTGGAGATATTGGCCAAGCGCAATGTAGAATTCCATCCTGCTTAGACATCAGCCTGCATCGACAAAGGTTTGTGCTCCGGTAGCAAGGCTTACATGTTGACGATAGCTTTCACCGCCAGATGAGCAGGCGAGTTGCTCAGGCCTCCACGTAAGCTAATTATCTGTCTGGCGCCTTTCAGATGGGCTTTGAGTGACAGCAGGTCGCGGCGACATGACTGGTGGACTCAGAGTCAGGCTCAGACCATGGTGGTGGCAGTAGCTGACTTACATCGGCCACCATGAGGTGGGTGATGGCGACCAGAACACCATCGTCAAGGTGGGCTTCGGGTGCGCTCAACCGCTTGCGCACCGACAGGATAGCCTCGTTGTGCAACTTGAGCATCTCATGGGACCGGTTGACGTGAAAAGGGTCGCGGCGCCAGTCATGTAGACTCTGGGCTGCCATGAGGACGCATTTGAAGAGGTCAGGGTCTTGCATAGACATCGGGAAGACGACCGATACCACAGGATGGTCGACGTCCGGAGTGATCTTGAGACATAGCTCTTCCTTGCGATATATGCTAATATCTGCGGGCCGTCAGTCCGACCCTCGTGTGCTGGAGTGTATCTGCTTACACTCGTCAACGCTCTCTATCGACATATCTCCACCTCCTGACGGGTAGGATGCGAAGGCTTCACGTCGGTAGGAGTCCAGCGGCGTGATAATCAGCTTGGCCTTGGTCGCGGACTTCTCGGTCGATGGTGCATTATGTTTGTCCTTGACTTGTACCAGACCGGTTCGGCGATGCAGCCGTCGAACATGATTCAGGGAATCCGGAGCACTCATGAGCCTGATAGAGCTGATTGCTTCTTCGCCGAGTCGGCAGCTGTTGCGATTCGGGAGTAAATCATTGCGATGCTTGTTACGACAGTGCCATCCGGTTACCCTTGATGTTTGACAAAATGGGCAACACTGGGACAGTATGAGCGTCCGAAATCAATCGAGATACGAGACTTTCTCAAATCTTGGGCAAGAGAGAGGAGGGGGAGACGAAACCAGTCTTGCTGGAAGAGGGACGAAGGTTTTAGACGAGGCCCGGAAAAGAAAGCTCCCAGGAAATTGTGCGGGTATACGGAGTATCGCGCGGCAGGTATTGATTGAAATGGCATTTGATAATGTAACGGTGGGTTCGGCCGCAATATCAAGCTGCCAAAGATCTGAGATGAACGCTTTCTTGAACTCTCGTCGGTGCCTGAACTTCCAGGCTGTTTTGGCCCGGCAGTTTGAAACGGCGTGCGTTTGATTTTCGGGACGACGATTGAAGCTTCCGAGTTAGACGGATTCTGGAAGGTCGCTCGACTCTTGGTTTCTCGATCTGCCCCTTGATCCAATCATACTAGCGCTGACTTTTCTGCTATTTGGGCATAGCTCAGCCAGCGGATATACCCAGGAGAGTAACCACCCATGGATTTTGCATCGTCACGTCGTGGTGTGAGACGGCGTTGTACTTTGTTAGTCAGCGGCTTGACCGAGGGGCCCCAAAAGACAGTAGGCATCGCAGCAGGGATTGTAGTTGAATCACAGGATGCTGCTGATATCGAAGTACCGGCCTGTATGCTTTCCGAGAGCTAAAGCCAACCAGAGTCAGCATTGCTCTCACGAGTTGCATGGTACTCGTACAGAGCAGGTCCTCTGTACTCCGTACCTCCGTATGCATTCTCCAACGGCTAGGCTCGGGTGTCCCGGATCCAATGTAGTCGATCCGGGGGCTTCGCCGGCGTGACACCGGGCATAAAACCACAGAGGGCGGGCAGTCCGTTGGTCTTCAAGACCACCTTCATTATCAAAGCAATGTGTTCGGATCTTTCCGGAAACGAGGCAATTTCCGCCAACCTGCTCGTTGCAGTGGTGGGCTTGAGTCGACGGAAGGGGTGATTGCTACCGGCTTCGTCGACCACAATGGCGGATGGTCATCACTGATGCGGTCGCATACATTGCTTTTGCCCGGACTGCGACATTGCTTTGGGATATACACCACCTACTCATGCTCGGATTGTGACGACGTAGAACGGTTGTTCGTGGCTGGAGAGCTGCAAAAGTCCCTGCAGTAATCGTACCCCGTACTTCGTACTATTTGGCCACAATGACTACGGAGTACTCCGTAGTTCCCCAGAAATCCCTTGGTCAACTTTGAATCGTTCAAGCTTGCGCTGGCTGATTGCCTGCTGGAGGACGGTCAAGCCACAGCGGCGTGGCGGCCCCGATGGCCATCACCCTTGTTAGGTAATCTTGATGTGGATGGCTGGGTGATGGTGTCAGCAGATATCAGTGAGGTCCTGGATCCTGCGAGAATTGTTTCCAATACGCTGCATACACCGAGCCCCCGACGTCTGCCCTCTGTGCTGCTTCTTCCGAATGCACATGCAGCTACTGCTCAGTGCCCTCAAAATGGTCAGCAATGGTGTGCCTTATGGGACCTAGGTACCACAGTATGCGATGGGCAAAACTTAATTGACGCCGGATGAGGAATGATGGCATTTGCCAAAGAACTGTGGTTAATGAACCGAATAAACACAGCATGTTTGAGTATGCAATGCAATGTCCCCATATTCTTGACTCCTCGCCCACTTACCAACTTACTCGTACTCGTACTCTGTACGTCCACGAATCATCCCAGAGTTGCGGGGACATACTGTGAAGAGCGGAGTGCAACCCGGTCGACGATCATACTCGACGTGAGGCTTGACGCCATATTCATGGCCAAGGACGGGAAGGTGGGAAGGCGTGGAAGGCCTCAACCCCCAAACCAAGGAAAAGACCCCCAGCATGGACATCCGGGTGTGGTACTCCGTAGACATCTGGTTGTCCTGCAGACAGCCCGAAGTCAACTCAATCTTCGACCAACAGTACCCAGTAGTCCACTCGTCGCGGACTGTGGTACTCCGTAGTCCGGAGTGCACTCGAATGTGGCGCGAGTCCGAGGCCGGGTTACACAGTCTTTGGTAAGTCCGCTTGCCTGACCGGTGCCCAGAAACCCCAGTTGCTGCGCAACCCGAAACGCTCTAAGGCGGCCCAGAAGAGAAGTGTAGCTCGAGGAACAGGAAAGGCTTGCGTGGCCGGAGTGGCGAGATGACGCGGTGGCTGTGCTTCGAGACATCCCCTGACATCCATTGTGGATTCCAAAGGCCTCTGTCGGCCAATACAAACACGCTCAGCCGGCGATCTGCGCCAGGGTCACGAATAAACTCGCATAGATTCACTTCTCGACCAGGACAGCAGACGCCCGGCTGGACCGGGCTGCATCCTTTTTTGGACAGGACTTTCCTGCAAGGCTGTAGGTTTCCCATACGGCCCACATGCGGCTTGGAGAACAGACGTGATGATTGTGGCTCATTTGGTGCTGTTCCCACAATATCCTGCGAAACGTCACCTGGGGAGAGACAGCGTACTGGGTATATATGGCTGAAAAGTGTCTCCTTCTGCAGTCATTCTTTTCAACGTCAGCCCAAGACATAACTCAGGACTCGCCGCCGGAACAGTCGTACCTCCTTCGTGACTTCGAACAGTCCCTCAACATGCATTTCTCCAAGTCCATCGTGCTGGCTTTCGCGGCCAGCGCTGCTGCTCAAGACGTCAGCTCCATCGTCTCAGCAGCCACTTCACTCGCCTCCTCCTTCGCCAGCGATGCCACTTCTGCTTTCGGGTCTGCAACCTCGGGCGCCAACTCAGCCATCTCCTCAGCAGAATCGTTGGCATCCTCATTCGGCACCAGCGTGTCGTCGGACGTCAACTCGTTGATCTCGTCCGTTGAATCTCAAGTCTCCTCGATCTCGGCTTCGGCCGCATCCGATGTTGCCAGCCTGTCATCAGTGGCCGCGACAGCGACAGGCTCGGCCCAAAGCAGTATCTCAAGCCAAATCAGCAGCATTCTCGCCAGCGCCAGTTCCGCAGAGAACAGTGTCGTCAACAGTGCCACCTCGGCGGCTTCCTCCTACTTGACCTCAGCTTCAGGTGCGGCCAGCAGCGCTGCATCATCTGCATCCTCGGCTGCAAGCGGTGCTTCCGCCTCCGCGACAAGCGACGCTGGAAATGGTGCCAATGGGTACACGGTGCCCGCCATTGGAGTGTTTGGCAGCTTGTTTCTTGGTATGGTGGCCTTTTTGTAATAGTATCACTGGGGACTGAACGTCAAAGCGACGTCGACTAAGATGGAGGGAGGAGTGTAATATAGCATGGCCAGAGGATGGGGGTAAAATATGAGGCGTCCTATTACACGGTTAATGAGTCTCGTCGCTGTTATAGGCTTAGCCATTACACCATATTTGAAGTAAGACTGTGCAATTACGACTGACTCCTGAGCCAATGTGCAGTTCATACCACGTTGTAATGCTTCACCACTTCAGTGTCTTGTTGTTCTCGATGTGCTGAGTAGAAGTATCAGAACCATCGACTGTTCAGTAGTCCAAAGGACGCGAAAGTACCGCTAGTTGGCGACTGATGACCCGAAAATCGCCCATGATCATCAATGGCTCTTCACCGCACCCAGTTCAATGAAATGATACCACACTCGTAGTACTGTGTAGTCTGGAGTTTCCATAGTATCCCACGCAGGAAATCTGTTCCTTCAGGCCCTTAAGCTCCGTTGTATGGTTTCAAATTGCCACAGAAGCGAGAACCAAGTGCGCCCATGGATACAAGAAAATGTGTACGGCTGCTGTTGGGGCAGCTCAGATCCAACGTCTGGGTGTGAGGCTCTGTCTTCCACTATTCATTAGAGACTCAACAGCAGTCCTGGGACGGGTCCTTGCGGTCGGTAGCCACCCAATGAAGCTGAGGCATCCTCAGTCCGTAGGGACTCGACGTAGCCTAGCCGTGGCGACAGACAGTCCTTTGTAGCCTCATGCACGTCGAGACCATGAAAGGACTGCGTAGAGGACGAGCCGGGTGGACGCCATTGACTGCTGTGAGCATGAGGTACATTGGGCTCATCCGTTTCAGAACTTACAAAGGGAGGAATCGAAATCATCGAGATAGGCACACAGCCGAGGCGAGGGGGCTCTATGCACGCCTCACCTTGCCTAAAGCTCGGCATGTATTCCTCCTAACTCATTGCCAACGCGGCCCAAGGGGCACACTAATGAGCGCCCATGTTCCGCGTTTCCAGCAGGAACGAGGCACGGCGTCTGCAGTCTCATAGGCTGTCTTGCTCCGGGCAGCCGCCAGGGGTTTTCCCTGTCGGATATTACCATACTCTGCGTACGAGTATACCGGTCGACGTCATTTCCTGTCGGTGAGGATATTCATGTAAGACGTGTTGGGCAGCAGCTCGCGGGATCTCCAAGGCCCATCAGGTCGGCTAGCCCGGCATCGTCGACTCGACGCCTAGGAATCGAAAACGACTAGAAGAAACCATACACCTGCTTGAAGCTGGTTTCGATGCTCGGTCGGTAATTTTGGGCAGCGACGCTGGAGTCTACCCAAGAGGTCAGCGATAGTACCAACAATGAGCTCCTCACGGAAGCAACAAAAAGATGTGGAGGTCAAACTGGCCAGCGTGTGGGCGCATCACTGCATGCCGTGTATAACTCAGGAGTGCTGCATGCAAGATGACGAGAAGAGACCGGTCGTCGCTCACACTTAGGAAGGCCAGAGGAGCCATCCACCATGTGGGCGCAAAGCTGCCCGTGCAATACTCTCTGTACCCTCCGTCAAGACCTGAAATGAGGTGATAGCCCAGCCAGACATCCATGGGTATTTTTTGGGTGTCTTGGTCCAAGCCGACATGATCGGCACTCTCGTTGGGCACAAACTGACTTATCGCCCTAGAAAGCATAGTAGGAGCAGAAAGTACAGAGGCGTCGTATCTCTGCCCCGGACAAATTCCACCCAGATATTGTACGTGCCGGTGGCGAAACGCCTCTTCTTGAGCACGCGGATGTTTAATGCTCTAGCTGTCATGAAGTGAGGGCTCCGGTCGCTTGCGCCCGACCCATACCACTTCCGCTTCACCCTGAGCGGAAACGTACAGCGATCGACACAAACGAGCAGCGGATCGTCTGAGCGGAAAATTGGTTGAGGCTCGGTCAACGGCGCGAAGCTTGAAGCTACTCCGTACGGAGTATGCTAGAGAGGATCCGAATCCACAATTGGGCGGCGAAGATGCGCCCCAACTTCACAAGGAAACCGGCAGCGGCACTGGCTACTCGTAGCATCGACCAGCAGGAATGCTGACTGGGAAGCCACGGCGGTGGGAATTCTGTTCGTGCGATCCTACCTTTGGACGATGCAAGGCGAAGTGCACCCCAATTGTCCAAGCTGCAATGGAAGTCCAGCAATGATGGAGACGACGGATGTGGTACGAACTTGTGGCGCAGGCGGTGAGATGTGGCGCCCGCGACTTTCCTTCCACTGTGGTGTACGGAGTACACAGTAGGGGGCCTCCTCTCGGGGGCTGAGACGCCCCCAACATGGCGGACGAGGCGGGTGAGGCTCGGGGGGTTACGACGGAGTACGTAGTACCGTGTATATTTTAGAGAGTATCAGCCAAGGAGCCATGGCCATATACCCAGTACACAGTTCCGGCGCAGGGGTGTACGTACACAGTAGGTCATGGAAGAGTGTTCCGAACTTCCTTAGGCGCTTCGTGAGGTGGCCATTCTGAGCCCGCTTGAGGCTGTCGTGCCGCATTGGTGACTCTAAAGTGCCGCTTTCAAAAAGAGGCGCCAGTGCTGGGCCCACGGGCTGTGATCACCTGAGCAATCCCGCTGCAGTTTCGAAGGGTGGGCGCTTCCCGGAGCCGAGGGAGGATTCGTATCAGTGGGCTTCAGTGTGGACTGGTCGACTGTGCTCGGGTTGTCGATGCTACGGTGGCAAACCCAAAAGCCACGGCGACAGGTGAAAAAAGGTTCGAGACAACTTTTCATGTGCAGGGTGCAATCACGCGCAAGAGAAGAAGTGGACACCTGTTTGATTTTTGCCGCATCTGCAGGAACAAAGTGCGCCGGATAGGCGTGAAATCTGATGGACATTTGCAGTGGGAGGCCACTGACAGCTCAGCTGGATACCTGCACCCAAGCCGCGCCTAAAGCTGCAAATCCCCTGCCCCTTCCAGTTAAGAGCCACTCGCCTGCAGGTCAACCTTAGCCCTGCGGTTCTTCGTTCCCGGCTCCTGGTGACAGCGCGAGCTTCGGCTACGCGCTGGTTGGCGGCATGCCTGGACTGATGGCTAGCCAAACCCAAAGGCGCTTTCACTTGTTCGCATTGCCAGGAACGTCATCCACCGTGACAGTATCACCAGTATCGGTCCCCGGCTGCCAATGTGTCTCATCTTAACCCTTTCCGACACAAAGACAATTGCAATAGCTGCCCAATCAATCCACCCTCACAGCTTCCCGTAGACCGGTCAATCTTGCTGAACACGAGCTCCCAAGCGTGACGATGGTGCTGCCTGATCGTCCACTGGGCACTGGTCTGTTTGACACTTCTGTCCACCTGCCTGCCGGTGCCAATCCACGTCTCCACAGCCCGCCACGGTTTCCACAGCCTTCTTTACCACAGTCGCCCCTTTCGCATCCACACCTTCATCTGCTTGCAAGAGTGCTGGGTTCGTCTCGCCTTACTGCGGATGCTGCCGTCTTTCAAGCCACCATTCTGCTGGCTACTGGGGTACTGCTGCGACCTTCTTACCCGAGGACCCCGTCCTCGTCATCCCAGTCATTCCTGGCAAGCAAGGCTTAGCTCTCGTTGCCTGATGCTAGATACCAATTTGGGAGTCTGCCTGATGCGAACCCATTTCACCAGGCTTCAGTGTCTCAATAGGCCTGCATCGCACTGAGTCACTTCAGTTCATATAAGACACTCAATTCCTCCTCGATCAGCATCCTCTGTCATCACTTTGACAACCAGTTCTCCGACGCCACAGGCCCTCCGCCAGACTCCTTCAGCGCAATCCATCACCCCTTAAATACTAGCAACATTCTTGGAACTCGCCCCCACCTCCATCAACTGTCACCACTTTTAGAACATCGCCACAAATACCCAAATACCCCGAACCAGCCTTCCAGACTTCCCATCAGACAACGCCTTGAGCATCCCAGCCTTGAATCATACAACACTTCCACCTCCCACCAGGAATACAAACACTCCGTCTACTGTTGCTGGAGTGACCTCCGTTACTTCGACAACGCGGCCTAGAGGCATACAAACAGCAGCCAAATCCTCCTTGAGTCAGACAACCCAACCACCAACCAACAAGATGCCTGCACAGTATCACAGCTCCTCAGGCTCCAGCAGCGCTGGCGAGAGAATCTACCACGACTCGCGAAGAGAACGACCAGAGCGGAAGGAGCCTCGCAAGCCCATCAAACGCGAGGTCATTGTCATCCACCATAACACCGTCACCCGCGACGAGCCTCTTCGGTCAGCCGGCATGAGCCACAACAGATGGACGTGATCTTGATCCAACAAGCACTGAACATCAACACGCAACGTCTACACGAATGGTTTTTGCACGAGGGACTTTGATACCAAGCGAAGGAGTTTCATGGGTTAGGCTGGAGAAAGGCCACTATGCAGCAAAAGGGAATTGGTGTTGGGATATTGCCACGGTTATCACCACTCTCGAAGAGTACGGGAAGCTATCGCTCAAGCGTTTCTTATGTCACAGGGTCGCGGATTGCCATTCAACCCATTTCTGTACCACTTTTGAGGCACTGGCTACTGTCCCAGGCCTCGCTCATGTCATAGATATTGAGAACCATAGAAAGAGAAGGACGCAAGTCTGGAATGTACTCTACGGAATACAGAGCATTGTTTATCGCTCGCAAAGCTTGCCTTTATCGATTGCGGGATCGTATCTTCAGCCTATCGATAAAACCATCATGGGTCCGCCCCGAGATTGCAAAGGCGTAACAAAGTCGCGTTCAGCTCAACGTGGTCGCTCTAATTTTTCAGGCATGCGCGAGTCCATCTCACCCTTCCTTCGCCCAGGGCAACAGAGGCGCTTTGATTCCCGTCTCACCCTTCTTCGGCGTCGATCACAGCAGCCCAAAGCATTTCTGCAGAAGCGTACTATGTAAGATCGTCATACAGAGCATCCAATCGTGGCACAGCATCGGCCTCCAATCAAGCGGGACGGGTGAGGCGGCGGCTTAGCTCCTTTTGCTTC